ATTATTATTATTATTATATTAATAATAATAATTATTATTATTATTATTATTATTATTATTATTATTATTATTATTATGAGATTCTCATGATTTTTAGATTCCTGGAAATTTGAATAACACCTTATTGGGTGGAATTAGGATTACCTCAAAATGGGGTAATGTGAAACCCATGGGCTTCATTTTCCTAGGTTTTAAAAAAGTCTAATAATTGTACCAAACATGGGAATATTTCAGATTCTCATTCCCACCCTTATGATTACCCCATACCAAACGCCCCCTTAAACACATCCTTATATAACTCTACTGTTTTGCACTCTTTTAATAATAATCTGTTAAATTATAGATAATAATTTATCAAATTTTATATAATAATATGTTAAATTACGTCAGTGATTGTAGATTTACCGTCGGCGACATCTGTTAAATTATCATTAATAATCTGTCAAATTACTTATTCTAAAAGAATAAAATTTAATACACTAATGTTGAGACTCAAAAATCCTTAATGGTATCATTTTAAGAGTATTTGTCAAAATTACTCTTATTAGAAAAAATAGAGAATTTGCTATGAGTCTAAACATTTACTCTTTACTCTTGATAAATACCCTTTTATTAGTGTAATTATTTAACTAAAAAGATTAAGAATTAATAGTAAATAGTAAAAATTATACCTCATACATTTTTAAGAAGTATTTGTCAATTACCCAAATTATTAACTAAATTATTAAGGAAGGCGCCAAGCCGATGGGCTTTTTTGCTCTGTGATCCTTGAATTATGAAAAATTTAGAAGAATTGCAGAGGGGCATACAAATTTATCGTTATGATTTTATTTTTATCACTATGAACTTTTACCCTCGCTTTCCCTCATTACATATGAACTTTAAATATGAGAGCACAAAACTAAAGAAGCTTCAGCTTCAGAGTGGAAGATAAGAGGATTCAATTGGTTATATAAAGGGTGACGTATTCTATAAAATTAAGGGTGTTCATCTCAATTCGACTAATAATCCAATTCAATCCGGTGAATTATATTGGATTGAAAGATTTTTAAATTGATAAAGTATTGAGATTTTCCCAATTCGCAAATAATAGATTGGATTAAGGATGGAGCATTTTTCAATCAGCATAATCCGCCAATTCGAACTATATATTATATATATTTTTCTATATTTTTTTCAATTATATTGTACATATATATAAATTAAGTATATATAATTTAATTTTATGTTATGTTATATTTGTATTGAATTTTGTTATTAATTTTATGGGAATAGTGAAAAAAGAGATGAGTTATAAGAGTCAAGGTCTAAAACGTAGGCTAATCTACGAATCCGTATAATCCAATCCGCAAAATCCGTTGCAGATTGGATTGGATCAAGGGTCTAACAGATTGGTAATGGATTGAGATTTTTCCAATCCGCATTAACGTATTCAATTGCATATTAACCCACGCATATTCTGATCCACATACAGCTCTATATAAAATCCCTTTTAAAACAATAATGAGAGTAAATTTTAATTTCTCCTCAAAAATAGGAGTTGTCCGACTTTGTCCCTTATTATAAGTTGCAACTTTAATATTTTTGTAATATGATATGTCAAATTTTTTCACTATTTTATTTAGGTCGTGTAACTAGGTAAAATGAATTTTTAACACTTTTAATTATGAAAGGATATCAGATCAGCATGTGATTAAAACCGTTAAAAGTGAAACCTTAGTGACGTAAGTATCAAATTTACAACTTCAGATAAGCTCATGTAAATTTTATGTCATTTTAAATTATATGGGGTAAAATGAGACAACTCTTATTTTTAAGAGAACCAGATTAAAAATTAACCTTTTGTATTTGCAAAAGTGCACCCCTCTTTAGGGTTTTTTGGGCATACTTTGGAGGGGGGAAAAAAACCCCTCGCTGATCAATCACAATGGAAATCACATGATGGAGTCTCTATAGAAAAAATATCTTTATCTTAATGACAATATGGGATTTTTCTGCTTTTATTTAAGGTAAACCGTGAGAAGGAGATGACTAGGACATAATATAAGTAGACCTGTAAGTTTTGTAGACTTATATGACTAAGACATAATTTGAACTTTAGATAAGTGGAATCTCCAATACACTCTAATAAGCATATTTGGGATTGCAAAAGTGTTGTTGGGTAAAATTCTGAACCCTAAATTAGACATTGAATGGGGTTCATGCGTCATAAATGAGGGCATTAAATAATTGAAGACAGTTTAGCTTTAGTCATCACGTTAGATGACAACTTTCTTATGAGCAAACCACTAGTTAAGGGTGTGGCATATATAGGAGGTCGACCGCTCTGAGGAGATGTAAAAGACAACATGAGGTTGACCGCACTAATAATTGTAGGTGAAGATGGTTTTAGGAACGCTTATGAAGTCGAGTCTAAGCAAGTTGAGAGAGACGAGAGATTTACTTCGGGATTTGTTATTTGTAATTCAAATATACGAAATTTAAGCAATGAAATCGTCCCGATTGATTGTAATCTCCATTTTTTGGGAAGTTGTCCCAAAGATGAGGGAAATATCCCCGAATTAAATAAGAAAATCAACAGGGACACTGGTGAAGATATAAATAAAGGATTGTAGGTCGAGAAATTCCTAGGTCTCATTGAGAGCAATTAGAGTGCGTAATTCTCTCTGAAAATAAGTGAATTATCCTCTCCCTACAGTGGACGTATCTCTTAAATTAATGGTGAACCACTATAATTCTCGTGTGTTATTTCTATTTGATTGTTTTTAATCGTATTTTTTATCAATAAATTTGTGCAAACCGTTTTGAAAATTATTAAAAGTAATGTGATAATGTTTATGTATACAAATTAAATAAATAATTAAGTCAGACTATATTTTTTTTTAAAGAAAAATGTCATTTTTCTGTGATGCGTTTCTTTATCATTTTCACGATGAAAAAGACAACGTATTTAAGAATTTGTATGTGTATAATACAATTATGCGAAAATAGTCCACGTGTATATAATATAGGTATTGCATGATTCACCCCTTAATAACAGAGAGAAATGACACCAATAAAAATCTCAACTTTGACAGATTCCTGTTAAAAATATTGCAAAATTACAACAAATTGTCAAAGGATTGATATTTAAGTAGTTTAAAATTTGTAAAAGTCAACAACTCTATCCAATCATATCCACCATGAATTTATATTTTATTAATACAGACATGCACAATAAGCAATCAACAATAACCCAAAAAAAAAATTTCAATCAACAATAAACTTGAAAATTATTCTTCAATTTTCAGAACGAGGAGGGTGATATATTATTCCTGTTGACAAGGCTTTTGATTTTTTCCCCTATTTTAGGAAGCTTTTAATTTCTGTGACGAATAAATTGGCAAAAAAAAAAAAAAAAAACACTGCCCTTACCATTTACTGAATTAAAAAAAACATTTTTTTTTTTTCACAATTAACTAGTTTAGTTTCTATCCTTCTCAAACGAGGCAACTGATACGGTTCAGAAACAATCAGACAACTCAATGAGTCAAATATCAAACAAAAATGTCTCCATTAATGTAACCCAAAAATGTTTAAAAAAAAACACGTTAAAAATGTTAAAAAAAATGTTTAAAAAAAGAAACTAAAAAAAAACACGTTTTTCCTTGGAAAAAAAAAATGTCAATCAAATTTTCATTAACAAAAGATGTCAATCAAATTAATGACAAATTGCAATGAGTAGTAATTAATAACGACAATTGGTGATGAGAGGGAGAGAGTTTTCACATTACTAAATTAAGGAGAAATGAAGATGAGCAAAAGTTGCCTAAAATGATGGTTTGTTAAGTGTCAAAAGTCAAAACCCCACCCCATAAATATTAGAAATTCCCTCACAAAAAAGGGAAAAAAAAAAATCGAGCTAAGGAAACCAAAGCCCTCTCTCTCTCTCTCTCTTCAATGGATTTCTCACCGAGGGCTTTGTTATACGTATAATTTTCTTTTCGCACAAGAAATCAACAAGAGAAACCAATTCCAGCTCCGAACAATCCCTTTCTCTCTCTAGATCTGTTTCTCTCAACTGTTTTCACAACTTTCTCTCGGAATCCTTTTCCTCTTGACTCTCAAATTCGGCACAGAAAAGGTTCTTTTTTTTTATATTTAAAAAATGCCTTTTCGTTTTGGATGATAATTCGAGATTTCGGAAACGGAGATTAGCGAAAGCATTCGGCGCGTTTGGATACAAAGGTAATCAATTTCTTTGGATTTTGCGTTTGTTTTTAATTCTCATGCCGTTTCAATTCATCATATACCTTTTAAAAGAAATTTTCTATGAATTTGATTTGTTGATTTATTTTAATAAAATTTCGCATTTGATCTTTAACATTTTTCTGGAAAAAGAAACTAATCGAGTTATTGAGTGAACTGTTAAAAGCTTGTATTCTGATAATTCACCTAATTCAAAATGTTTTATTTTTTAACGCCCCTATCATTTTTTTCCCAATTTGGTATCTATGAATGTTAGAGATGTCAAACTGAATGAATTTTCGATTTATTTGACCTTTTTGTTTGTTTTCACATTTAATTTATATGATATTTTTCAACACACTGGGTTTTTCACTTGAAAGCTTTCACTTTGATCCTTCTCTCAATTGGAAAGGTTTTTGAAAATTAAACATGCACACAGTGTTAATTTCCCAAATTGGTATCTGATCACATAATTAATGATTGGTATATCGGTTTCATCTATGATTGTACTTGTTTGATCCTTGTTTTGTCTGCATTTGATTCTTATCTCGAAAATATATGCAGGTTCCACTCATATCGACCCGAGTGTTTAATGTCTTGCACCCCCACAAATTAATGGTGTCTGCGTTTATCAATGAGTATTTGATTCCTGGAACTTGCAAACTGGTTTTCGAACTTTTGAAGAAATTAGAGCGAAGGATAGGATTAGATATTGTGGTTAGTACATGTTTGCAGAATAATCCAATTGCTGGTTCGTTTGGTTGAGAATATCATGTAAGCAATGGTGACAGCTACTTTAATGAAGATTGTATCTTCCTGCTTCAAACCTTCTGTTGAGGAAGAAAATTCCAGTAGAGGCGGGGACGCGAATGACAGGGTTGATGGTTTATTATGGTATAAAGATTCAGGACGCCATGTTGGCGGAGACTTTTCAATGGCAGTAGTTCAAGCAAACAATTTGTTGGAAGACCAAAGCCAGCTTGAATCGGGACCGATGGGTTCAATTGAGTCGGGTCCTCGAGGAACTTTTGTTGGAATTTATGATGGGCATGGGGGTCCTGAAGCAGCCCGTTTTGTGAATGATCACCTATTCAAAAATATCAAAAGTACGTTTTTCTTCCACCTGCATATTTTTATTATACAGTTTATGTATTTTTTAGTAGTTTTAATGCTAATCTTACTGTTATTACTGTCATTGATATATGTCTTGGCAAATGTTCTTTTGCGTTTGATTATAAATTTGCAATCTTGTTGATGTTTAGGGCATAGCAGAGAGCCCCATGTATGTAGCACGCGGACCATGTAGGAAGGTTGAGATCAAAATGTTGTTCTGATTCTTCCATCTTCCTAAAATTTCTTTCTTCTGATATTTATGTCACTCTTGTGGTATATTACTTTGGATGCAATAATAATCATTATTCCGCAGAATACCGAGACAAAACACTGATCCTATCAGCTTTATCATTCAAGCCTTTCTTATCCTGATAGTCTAAAAGTTATTGCAACTTTCTGTGTTCATTATCTGATTTGGTATGTGAATCTGATGCTGTTTGGTCTAAGGCAGAATCTTTTTTTTTTCCTGAATAATTTGACATTTCGTAAGTTATTGTAAACGGAAAGGAAACCTTACAAATCTTTAATCTTGTTATATCAATGCTTGTCAAAGGGAAAGTTGGAAAATCTTCAGCTCTTTTTCATTTCCAAAGAATTTATAACTTTCCATGAATTGTAACATATCCCTGCCTTTTTGTTTCCTCTCCCATCTTGTGGAAACGAGTTTTATACTCTATGATTACAATGAATTATAACAATTTCAAGAATCAGCATTGGACTTCGTGGAAATTGCAAAAACAGTTTTGGATGTCAAGCATAAATTGGTTCTATTTTACGGTTGTTTTCAGATATTTAGATAGCTAATTCATACTTTTACTGACTTGACAGCTATTCATGGTGCAGAATTCACATCAGAGAACCAGGCAATGTCGGCTGACGTCATCAACAAAGCATTTTTGGCAACTGAAGAGGAATTCCTCTCTCTAGTAAAGAAGCAGTGGCTTACCAAGCCGCTGCTTGCTTCTGTTGGTGCATGTTGCTTGGTGGGCATAATATGCAGTGGGCTGCTATACATTGCAAATGCAGGAGATTCTAGAGCAGTGTTGGGAAGATTAGAGAAGGCTGTCAAGCAAGTCAAAGCTGTTCAGTTGTCAGTTGAGCACAATGCAAGTTATGAATCTGTGAGGGAGGAATTGCACTTGCTGCATCCCGATGATCCACAGATCGTGGTTTTAAAGCACAATGTGTGGCGTGTGAAGGGTCTGATACAGGTATTCTGTTGAGAGTTGAGACTATGTGATGTAAATTTTGTTATGAACTATCTATTGCCCACTTATCTTTCTTAATAGAATAATGCTAGGAATCTAGACTTTTTAAGACCAACTGACTTGGTATGCGAGTTAATTTTTTATTGTTAGGTGTTTAAAAATTGTCACATCATTTAATAGTAAAAAACTACATCTGGCGGTGAAAAAAATGACAACCCGCTTTATGTGAGTTGGTATCAAAAAGTTGGGATTACTGTATGAACTATCTATTGCCCGCTTATCTTTCTTAATAGAATAATGTTAGGAATCTAGACTTTTTAATACCAACTGACCTGGCATGTGAGTTAATTTTTTATTGTAGTGTTTAAAAATTGTCACGTCATTTAATAGTAAAAAACTACATCTAGCAGTGAAAAAAATGACAACCCGCTTTATGTGAGTTGGTATCAAAAAGTTGGGATTGCTGTATGTGTATGACTCCTCCTCCACAATGATGGCATGCTCACGTTTTTACTGCAGGTTTCAAGGTCCATTGGTGATGCTTACCTGAAAAGGGTGGAGTTCAACAGAGAACCTCTATTGCCAAAGTTTAGGCTGCCAGAACCTTTCCACAAGCCTATCCTTAGAGCTGAACCAACAATATTGGTGCAAAAACTTTTCCCTGAGGATAAGTTTCTTATATTTGCTTCGGATGGTCTGTGGGAGCACTTGACCAATCAGCAGGCTGTTGACATTGTCCATAGCTGTCCACGTAATGTAGGAATCCCATTCAATATTTCATCGATTTGTTTCTATTTAATTTGTACCTACTTCTTATGGTTATCACTATTTTGTTCCATTACTAGATAATTTTTATATATTTTCTTGCAACCCTTAAGGGTGATTTCTCAAAAAAAAAAAAAAAAAAAAGGCGTTTTTCATATTTTGATAGATGTTATTTGTTGGATAGATCTATGATCTAATGACATTTGAAGCTTGATTAGAAGGTCCTTTTTGCTGACCTTCTGTGTATTTATCATAACTTTGCAGGGTATTGCAAGGAAACTAGTAAAAGTTGCTCTTCGCGAAGCGGCTAAGAAACGAGAAATGAGATACTCTGACTTGAAAAAGATCGATCGAGGGGTGCGGAGACATTTTCATGATGACATCACTGTTGTTGTCTTGTTTCTTGATTCGCATTTGATCAGTCGTAGCTTCTGGCGCGGGCCTTATATCTCAATCAAAGGAGGTGGTTGACACATTGTATCTTCTCGTGTCAAGAAGCAGCAATTTTGTCTTTTCGAAAGAGGAAGAAGATTTAAAGTGAGCATTTATTTCGTTTGTTCTTTTTAAATGTATAGCCATGCTTCATGAATTCCGGTCTGCACAATACCACCGGACAATATAGAGGCTGATAAAGGTGTTATTTGGTGATTGCCACATGCTACTACAGTCTACACAAAACTACCGTTTAAACAGCTTTTCTTTCTCTGTTTACCTGAGAATTTGATACTTGGTACTGCCTTTAAACGTTGAGATTCAGACGTGAAATTATCGTAATTATGGAGTTGATTTGCGAGTTTTCTTTGCACTACAAATTGCTGGTCTCTTTTTAGTTCAACGTACCACTACTGGTACTAGCACTTTCTTGGTGGCATACTTTCTTTTTGGGGCTTTTGCCTTGTTTATAGAGCTTGTCCGAATTCTGATTATTTGTTGGTGAGAGGCTTAGAATGGGAGAACAAATTGTTGAGAAATGTTGTCTGAGCAATCTTTAAAAATTAGATATGACACGGCCCTCTTTTATTAGAAATTTCCATAGAAACTAGTATATGGTCGTTTATTCCAAGAATGATGATACGCTAGTATTTCCTTTTCCTTTCCATTTTCGCATAGTTCATATTTAGCCTTTTCTAACTTCTTCTAATATACTTGCCAATGACCATAGGTCAAATGACATGGAAAGGGGCTCGGGTTGGGACGGCGCAGGTTCGATCCTGTATCATAGTAAAAATATAGCAGTGAAAATCATACATTCATGAAGAAAAAAAATACTTGGAGGTTTCTCGCTTTAACATTGCTCATACGAAAATTCATTTTAATTTGGGTAGCGGAATTACTTTGGTAGTTAGAAAAATTTTGAATGGGACAAAGTTATCATGTTTAGGAAGACGTAGATATTGTTCGTTCCTTGCTATGCGTACGAATCCCGCCTATCTTTCGTGTTAGTTTCATTTTATGGTTTGTTATCTTCTCTATTTAAAGAGGAGTCAGGCTGTTATTTTGCACACTACATGTAAACCATTGCAGATCTTGGGTTCCCTCGAGGCTCGAAGTGACTATTAATCTCGTATCTATTCGATTCCTATTCAAGAACCAAAACAGGTAAATCTAAAGCAAATCCAAACAACTCTGGGTCTTTTACTAGCCTGTAAATAGAGCTTGTGTTTTTAAGTTGAACAAGACGAAATTTGCTTTGAGTTTTGATAATGTTGTTTTGTTTTATATCCGCACCCAACCTGAAATTAAGCATACCTACTCCCGTTCTGCCTCAAGCTATCTTTAGTTGTGACACAATCGACCAATCTATCTTTTGAGAAAATAAAAGAGTAAAAGGTCCAAAAAAAAAAAAAAAAAATAGAAATGACAAGTGAGCTAATAAGAGAATAAATGTCGAGATTTTTACCGATAAAACCCAAGATTAGTGGTTTTATTATTATCATCATCATCGTCGCAATCTTATTTCTCTCCCTCTGTCAATCTCTCTAAATGCATACAAATATATATCGAAAAAAAAAAAAACAAATATATATCAATTTCTTGCATCTCTCTCCCTTTCAAACCTTCTTTTTGCCTCTTCCTTTACAGATGTAAAGCATTTTAAAATAATAATTATTATAAACGAATTAATATTAAATTTAAATTTAATTTCACTCTCTTGTGAAGGTCAAACGTCATAACATATATTTTTGTTTTGCTGCAAAACTTTTCAAACGTTATATTTTATCTCCAACATGGAGCTGTCTATCTCACTAGCATTAAATGAAAAGATAAGATTAGGATAAATTTAAAAAAAAAAAATGCATTACACGACAGTGAACAGACGACTCAGACCAAGAATCCAAGGACCAAAATCTCTTTCCATTTTTTTATCACAAAAAAATCTCTTCCCATTTTTTATTTTCTAAACCCATAACTAAAAATTAATAACCAAGTGGCCAAATTTTAACTGAAGTACATATAGCAATCCAAGCTATCTATCTACTTTCCCACCAACCATATGACCAATACAATGGCCACGTTTAAAACGAGCTACAATATGATGAGTGACTCCCACCGACTTCTTTCCAGTTTGACTACAATTTCTTTTCCCATTAATTTGATTGTGGTCAAAATCCCAAATACCAAGTTATTTTCTACTCCTCAGCTTCATCTTCAGATTCAAGCTAATTGTTTTGGAAGAAGAAAGACCATAACAACTTTGGTCCTTGCAGCTATGGCAACTGGGTATGTGATTTGGTACAACTTTTTAATGTTGCATTTTAGTTCTGTTTCTTTTCTTTTACTATTTTCGTTGCTGGGTACTTTTTTTTTTTTTAGTGTTCTTTATGTGTTTCCTTTACTATTTTCTCTTTCTTAATTATTATAATAATAATAATTATTATTATTATTATTTTCTCTCTTTTGGGTTGTGAAGAAGTGTGCAAGAGGTGCTCCCACCAACTCTCAGTTCTACTTCTGACCCTCCACCAATCTTTGACGGCAAAACAAGGTAGAGGAAATAGATGTGTCAAAGTTGGCTTGTTCTTGAGTTGTGTATGTGAGAAAAAAACTTGAGTCATCACGAACATGTGTTATTTTTTCCTAAAGAATAAGACTTGAGAGTTCCGTTGATTGGATGCGTGATATTTGCCTATGTGGAACCCAACTAAATGCGGATTATTTATTGATTTATTTTTTTTTTTTTTGCCCTGTGTTATTTGCATGAAGGTTGTATATTGCTTACATATGCCCATACGCCCAACGTGTGTGGATTACTCGGAATTGTAAGGTTTGTTAACTTGTTCCGACACTTAATCAATGTTATCATCTGGATTTTTGTTTGTTTTGGTGTATGTGTATCTGTGGTTGATCAGTTACTCTCTGAATAGTTGCTTAGAAACTTGTAAATTGCAAAATTAGCAAATGATAAAAGAATGTGTTAGGGTATAAAGAAAAGTATAGTTTTAAACCGTCAGGTCACATAAGAATCGATTGTGAAAAGTATAACAGTTTACTGCACTTGATAAAAATCAGATGGTTCAATACTGATTTTTTCTTGCCCTACCAAGGAATCCTCCTATGAAAGTGCTGATTTATATACTTTCTGATGGAAACCAAAATAGAACTCACCATCTCTTCTTCCCACAATCATTTGTTGGAAACAGGGATTGCAGGAAAATATAGAATTGATTCCCCTTGATCTGCAAGACAGGCCTGCTTGGTACAAGGAGAAAGTTTTATCCTCTAACAAGGTGTGACATTGATATATAAACATCTTTTAGAATACTGAGTTGAAGCATAGTGAATGGTTTTGCTTCCATGCACCTTTCCAAACGACCCTTGTAAAGTTCTTGAATTGAGCTAGAATCCTGATAAGATTTTGTAATCAAATTTTATGAAGAATGCCTGTAGATCAACACTATACCTTTTTAACGAATCACAAATTCATAGGTTAATTTTGGCACCTACATATTATAACACAATCTTATACGTTCATCTTTAACTGGTTAAAAATTCAATGGTGATGACCACCGGTTATCACTAGCATTTTTCGTTTATAAAAAAAAAAAGGTCTTAAAAATTTTCCGTAGGCGGTCCTCAATTTGACACTCGTTAAATAGAAAGCTAATAAGATTATCAGGAATTAATATAATAAACCTAATTGTAATGTTCTATATTCAAGACAATTTTCACATGTAATTTTTCGACTCAGGTGCCAGCATTGGAACACAACAATCAAGTCGTTGCAGAGAGTCTTGACTTAATCAAATATCTTGACACTCACTTTGAAGGGCCTTCTCTTTCACCTGATGTAAGAGTTGGTGGAACTTTTTTTTTAAATTAAAAAAGAAACAACTTTTTCCTCTATAAATTATGTAAATGCTCACTCCCTTAATGCATGCAGGATCCTGCAAAGAGAGAGTATGCAGAAGAGTTGCTATCGCACTCCGACTCGTTCAACAAATCTGTCTTTACTTCCATCAAATTAGGGGACCTGAAAGAAGCTGGTGAGTTGCAAACTGATTCATCTGATGTCGTTTTTAGTTGAAAAGTAAGAAATCTAATCATGGCAATGTGTTTGCAACAGTTTCCGCATTTGACTATATTGAAACTGCTCTTTCCAAATTTGAAGATGGACCGTTCTTTCTTGGTCAGTTCAGCCTGGTAATGTGGGACACTTAATTCTGCTATCCACCAACAACGCTATAGGACACTGATGGTGTTGAACACCACCCATTAATATAAGGTGGGTCCCGTAAAATGGGACCCACAGGTAGGGTCCACATTTCTATTAATGGTGGTGTTTAGTACTCATGGTGACTCCGCATTTTTCATTTCTAGGTAGATTTTTGCTTTTTCAATAAATTACTTGAAATAATATAAAAGTTAAGTTTGTGTAATTTTCTGTTCTTAACCTTTAGGTGGATATAGCTTATGTTCCGTTCATAGAAAGGTTTCAACCTTTCCTACTGGAAGTAATGAAGTATAACATCACTGAGAGCAGGCCTAAATTGAAAGCTTGGATTGAGGTAAAATAGAATCTAATTTCCTTGACTAATAAAATTGTAATAAAACCAAACATGTCTCAAGATTGTAGCTCTTTGCGCCGTGCATACTGTAGAAACTTGTCTTGTGATTTGTTTTCGTTTAGTGTGTTGTATGAGCATCTCCAATGCAACGTCAATATCAAAATTTTTGATCATGATAAGAACACCATTCTCCAATTCAATGCCATACCTACTGTCAAATTTTTGGCATATGCTGTATTATGGTGTTAAATTTAGTACCAAGTATAGCGTATACCAAATTTTGACGTTTGGTTGCTTACTAATGTTTTAATATTTTGATTTGATGCTTATTAACATTGTCATTTTTCAATTTTAAAAAATTAAACATTTTCTTTTTATGACAACTATAGGGGAACTAAAATGCTAATGCTTGGAAGCTTAGAATAATTTGTACCAGTTATATTTTATTTTTGATTGCGATATCAAATTTCAGATTGCTAAACACTTTCAAGGTTGAACCAGTACTAATAAAATTTTGTATTATCAATGTTGTAGGAGATGGGAAAAATTGAAAGTTACAAGCAAACTCGAAGCGACCCCAAGGAGATTATTGCATCTATTAAGAGACGATTCTCGGTAATTATTCCATTCTTACTGTGTTTACAAATTACAATATTCTTTTTATTGATTAGTGAAGGTGGTTCTAATTATTTTCTGTAATCCATTCATTTTGCAGCTTCCGAACTAAAGTGTCCTTCAAACTGTCTCCTAAGTTCTCGTTTCACATGTTATGGTTTAGCCTCTGAGTTCTCTTCTGAATAATGTAATAACATAAATTGAAAAAACACATTTGAAATGGCCATTGTAATATTTGGAGTATAACGGAATGGTTTATGTTATGAAATGTTGTTATATGAATGATATATAACTCACTATTTTGGTGGGACGTCTTGAACTTAAAAGCTTCTCTTTCAAAACATTCAAGCAAATGTCATTTTATCTTGTTCTCAGTGGTAGAGAATCACGAGCAAAAGAGTATTTGACCAAAGGAGGGAGAAAATTCCTATGCTCGTTTGTGCTTCTTGGTTTACACGTTTGCCTTTTAAAACGACGTTAAAGATTTGCAGTCGTTTATACTTCTTAGTTTATAATTTTGCTGTCGTCTGTGCGTCAAAGATGTTTTGTCATTTTGTTTACATGTAGTTTATACATTGTAGTAAAATGGACGTGTCGTTTTTGTTTTTTAAAGACTTACTGTTACCGTGCAGTTTGTAGTACGTCGTCTGCTGTTGTTTTGTGGTAGAGAACATTACATGTCGTTTGCTTTCATTGTCATTTAATTCTAAACATGTTTTGGGCACGAGTTCTCAATCTTCTATTTAACGATCAGCATTATTTACACCGTTAAGCATCCTGTCGTTTGCATATGGTCTTAAGGAAACGACATATTTAGCTGTTAAACCACATGAAACGACTCCTTTTTGCTTGAAAGTGGTGTAACTTCTACGGGAATAATTATGGTAGAGTTAATTTACTCCACAGCGAGGAATTGTTGTTTTTAACCGTTAAATTAGTTTTTAGTGATTAGATCTGTGTATTCACGTGACATAAAATGCTCTACTACAGATCAAACTATCAAAAAATTAATCTAACAATTAAAATACAATTTTTATCAATGAAGCAAAATAATCTTCTCTATCGTAAATGCACCCAATTTCTACATGTAGTTCTTTGTAAAAGATCGCTTTAGCCTTTTAATGCCATTCTCATTTTCCTAAAAAAGTTGTTGTCTGTCGTCTAATTATAATAAGAATTAATTACAAAAACTCCTCCTAAATTATACTCTTTATAACACTAATATCCGTTCTCTAAATGTTAACAAAACAACCCCACCCGTTAGATTTTTTTAAGAGAAATTGACGTGTAATTTATTATTTTAAATATTTTAATAATCCTATTAAATTTTAATTTGAATTTAAAACTAATTTAGATTTAAATTTTTAATTATGATACCTTCATTATTGACTTGATTGGATATAAGTTAAAAATTTTATGAATTTTTTTAATGGAATAAAAAATTTTATGGTTTTTTTAATAATTAAATTAGTTTGTATTGAAATTAAATTTTAAATCATAAAATTATCAAAATACTTTTAAAATAACAAATTAAATATCAATTTCAATTAAAAACCTAATAGAGATGGCCTTTTTATTCATTTTATTGTTTAGGAAAAACAGATGTTACATTTTAAAAATCAATAAACAAAATGTTACAGATATAATTCAAGGAGAAATTTTGTAATTAATCCTTATACCAAAGACATTTCTCGTTTTGGAGGTTCGCTCTGTACCGTAAAGTTTGCATTTTACTCGCTCTTCACCGTACTTGTCGTTTACTAGAGTACAGTTTACCGGAGTAACATATGACGACATATTGTCTGGTATACAAATTTCTACTATCGTTTGAAGATTTAAACGTTTTTTTTCTATAATACCCGTTCATTAAAAACGACATATCAAACCCAAATGTAACTCTCCCACGGGAAAAAACACAACAAAAAAACAAAAACAAATGTAACTCGCCATTTTAGCCCCGAAACGACGTGCCATTCGTGTATACTGTATAGAAACGATGCGCCATTCATGCTTGCCTCTCTTTAAATGCAGTTTTTTTTCCCCCCCTTATAAAGCTATTTTTTCCTTAAAAAAAAAAAAAAAATTCTTCAATGAAAGCATCGAACATAAATAACTCTAACCTTTATCAGTATAAGAAATCATAAAATCATAACTACATAAAAGCGGTTGAGACCAGCAAACGACATCAGCACTAGAATGTAGAAGCTATAGCTATTATCTTTAATCATCTGTAAATTTTGTTGTACACAATAGAAATGAGCACAACCTTAAAATTTCTCTGTAAAAAGGTGAAAAAAAAAATGGTGCAGTTCCAATACCAAGACTGCAATAGCAACTAAATCAATCCTACATCCTCCCAGACCTCGACTTTATAGATCCATGATCTTCTAAACAAAAGAACAAACGGAAAATTGACTTTCACCAAGCAATGACTTGTTATTAGGAAACAATTTATGAACACCTACATCTCAATACTCTCTCCGAAACATTGAACCTAATTGTTCCCGGATTAAAAAGTCATTGGGGCATGCAGTAGGCAAATCATACTACATGGCATACCAATCCGCTTCGGTTTAAAATAAATAAATATAACTTTTCTTGAAACAGCATTACCCTTTATCATATCTGAGGAAGCTGCTCCTATGTGTGAAAGAGATCAAAGGATCATGTAATGAGTATTAAAGTGAAGGCTGAAGCCCCTTTGAGGAGTACCTGTGTCGGTGAATTTCAGAACAGCAGGCTCTGTTGGGGTACTACCTCATTAGTACTCGCCAAATCTTGCTCATATACACAACCAAAGACCAAAAGGCGAGTCCAGCTGAAACATAAAGCAAAACAACACCAGAAGCTACAAGAAATCCCGGTGCTCCTAGGCTGCAAAAATTAGCAGGGAGAAAGGAAAAAGTTTTAGAAAATTGAGAGCAAGTTAAGGACCGATCTTATCAGTATCCCAAGGAAAATATCATTTTCCTCTTCATTAATTACAAAAAGAATGGCCCAAACGCAGAAGACAAATGAGTCAACCAACCTGCTGTCTCGAGTTGCTAAAAGGATGGTTAATGCAGTCATCTGCGTGGCTGTTTTCCACTTTCCCAAGTTATTTACAGCAACAGCCTGAGAATATATATCATTATAGTGATTAGTTGTTACGATATCAGAGATAAAACCTTCCTAAGGTTGGAAATGAAAGGGAAGTTGGTTAAGTGTAACAGACTAACACCTCTAAAAGCTTGGTATTCTGAGAAGCTGCCCATTCTCTAACGGCAGACATTGTTATCTACAAATAAGTTGCAAATCAATTTGTAAGATTTCGCGATCAACTTATATAGTCGAACTGACAAATCTCACAAAAGAAGCAAGCCCCGAAAAAGGATTCGACAAGCAAAACCATAAAACAGCAGCTGAATCACAAGTCACAAGGCCGCATAAAAGGTAAAGCATAGGACTTTTTTTTAAAACATATGTGACTTTAAAAGTTAGAACCACCATTTTTACTTTGATCAAGATTGTCCAAATGGAGACGTGCACATGACAAACATCCAAGCACGAACAATTGCCGTCACATAACAGTGTCCTTGTCCACAAGAAATACATATATACGAGTGTTATCCAATAAAACAACAGGTTACACATGCACTAATATTGGTACGGTAAGTAGAATACAAAGATAAACCATATTACCTCTCTGCCAATAATAGCAATAACAGGCACAGTCAGTAGCCATGGCACCTGCCCAAATCCGGGAACGTCAAAAGGTCTTGTGCACAATAAGATCAACGTTCCCGCGACCATGAGCTGCACCAAAGTTAGCATGAAATCAACTAATGTTCTCATATGCTTCTGAAAATTTAACCAAAGAATTCTTTTTCAACTAAATTGTTACAAGTCAACAATTAAAATGTTCCTACATAAGGATGACAATACCTTATCAGCTACTGGATCTAAAAAAGCCCCAAATGCAGATCCTAACCTCATCTGTACCAAACGATTTATATTTAAGCAATCAATAAAATTAAGAGATAATTAGTAAACTTTAACATAGTTCAATTCTAACAAGTTTGCTTCTTTATAGCTAGAAAAGATAAAGAATAATATACCTTCCTAGCAATATACCCATCAAGCCAATCGGTAATTGCTGCGGCGATGAAAATACTTGTTGTAGCAGTTGGTCCCCACCAACTATCCACGTAGAAAGCTAGCACAGCAAGAATAGTGAATATGTCAATTCACTTCCTACTGCAACAATCAGTTCAATATACTAACCGCAAAGCAAACATAAGAAACAAGGATGCTAATTCTTCCTATAGTATCAATATCACAAACACGCGATCGTCCAACCTTCATCAGGATTCCGAAGCGTTTACTGGCCAATAGACCAAAGAAAATATGAGACATTCTACAAATAATAGGTGGGTTTCTTAAGGACAGTTCCAAAAATTCAGGGCAACATTTTCTTAGCAGCACAAAGTATCTGAGAAATCGCGCACAACTCGCGGAAGGAAACAACAGAACTTACGAATTGCAGTTCCATAGGAATCAAAGTAACAACCAAATCGACTAAGCAAAGAATCGGTACTCATGCATGAGACTTACAAACAAAGTCAGGAATCCAAGCAACACTGCACTATTTTGAAATGCATAAACATCAGAAGAGAAAAAACTTAGAAGATTGAAAAATAACAATAGAAAGAACCAAGGCTATTCCATTCCATTTGCAATGAAATTTTAGAGGGAGACATCGAAATCACCAAAAGAATGAATACGAAATTTTCACAAATTACCAAACCAAATGTCAATTAAAACAAAAACGAAATGACACCATCGATTAGATCCAAAATTTACAAACAACCAAAACCCAGTATGAAAATACAACGAGGAACATATCAAAATCATGTACACTGATTAAAATCCCAAATCGAACCCCCAACCCAATATGCAATCAAAAAAAGCAATCCAATCATCGTAACCCAAAAAAAGATAGAGAAAAAGCAAACAAATTTCCCGGTAAACAAACAAGCAAACAATGAAAACCAAACTTACTGCCAATCAGAAGCGGAACGGCGGCGACGCGGCCGAGAGTGAGAACGGTGGGCAGGGTGAGGAATTTGGAGGAGGAAGCCGATTGTTTGAGGTCTTGATTCACTTCTTTCCCGTTGAAATCCTGGTGCTTGTTTTCCGAACCCATATCGACAACAAGACCACCGGATTCGGCTTCCGACAACGAAGAAGACGACGAAGAAGAAGATGCCGACAAAGCTCCGCGATTTTCGGAGGAAGAAAAAGAAGAGAACCCTAGAGGGGGATTTTTGGGCGGCGGGTGGGAGGGATTCTTCTTATCGTGCGCCGGGGGTGCGCAGGGATGGGGTATACACCTCCGCCATCCAATTCTTCGAAATCCGTCTCTATAAATAGCGGTGGACGTTGGTGATACGCTTAGTAGTATAAGTCTGTTGTTGTTGTGGTTGTTCTCTCTCCTAGCTTGGTGGGTTTTATTTAAGGAGAGAGAAAGAGAAAGAGGAGTAGTACTGCCACTACTGCGGACCCATACCAACTTTTGGGCGTGGTTTGGTTTTGGAACCGCCATGCCCAGCTTCACCACCACGCCTGACATTCCTACTTTGTTCTCCAATTTCTGCGATTTTTTTTTTTTTTTGGTTGTTGTGGAAGATAGATGACCTCCTCAACTGAATTTTGTTGGGGGAGAAACTCGAATTTTGATCAGTTCGGTGGGTAGTTTTTAGTAGATGGTCGACGGATAATAATAATAATAATAATAACTGTTTTCAATCTATCGGATTATAGCGGTATATATATATATATATAATATGAGAAAGATACGTATAATTTATTTAAATATATATACATATTTTTAAAATATATATATATATATATATATTTTAAGAGAAAATATACATATATTATTTTAATTTAGTACCGAATTAGAGATTTTATCAATAATAATAATAATAATAATAAGCTTTTTCTCATAGGATCCTCGTGAATTTTATATGTTTAGCGAATTGGCCCATAAACTAAAGATTCCTACAACTGATTCCCTAAACGTTAAAATTTGTTGTATTCATGGTCTTTTTGATAACGTCCTAAAATATTGAACGGGTTTGGACGATTTTTTGCATGTGACTCTCCCTCACTCCACTCCATCTATCTCCAGCGGCGTGCAGCAAAGGCCTCCCACCTCGAAGAATCTAAACATTGCAGTGGCCTCCCGCCCACTGTGATCTCCATTGTTGCATTACGGGGGAGGAAAGGCTCGCGAGGGGTGGTGGCCTTCATTTTCAAGCGAATATGGTTGCACGAGGGGGTCAGCAACTCTGGTTTTTCAAGAGGGTGGTAGCTCTAGGGTGCGTTTAGAATTAGTTTTAAAATAATTTTATTTTTTGTATGAAATTAAAAATGAAAACGTTTTTAACTTTAGACAGAAATCATTTCTGAAAATGCGTTTAATAATTTTATTAAGAAATTATTTTTATTATAAGAAAAAACTGAAATTCCATTTGATTATACAATTTTTATTTTTAATTTAAGAACACTTTGTTAGTTCATGAGAACAGAACTAATACCAAACACGTTCCTAATTTCGCGAGAAGATGGTGGGGCTAATGAGGGGGTGTTCGCCTAGCAATGGATGACACAATAGTGGGCTAACCCGTCTAAAAACCCAACCATGTCATCAATTTGACCAGCTTTGTAATAAATTAAAATATTTATTTAGGTCTGGCAATTCGTGTTGGCGGGTCGTGTTCGTGTCGTATTGACCCTCTTAGTTGACACGAATAGACCTAAACACAACCCGTTTATTAATCGTGTCGAAATACAAAACACAAACACGGCATGTACATTAACGGGTTGACACGACACGACACGAATAACATGTTTATTAAACATGTCATAAACGTATCGTGTCAACCCGTTGATTGTTAGTCAACCTGTTTATAAAATGAGTGATAAATGGGTCGTGTTAACCTATTTCTGAACCTATTTTTGAACGTGTTTATAAAATAGGTGATAAATGAGTCGTGTTAACCTATTTTTGAACATGTTTATAAAATGAGTAATAAACAAGTTGTGTATTCGTGTTACCCAAATATGACACGTTTAATAAACGGGTTATGGCGGGTCAACCTGAAAATGACACGTTATTTAATCGTGTTTCACAAGTTCGACCTAATTTTGTCCTGGACCTATTTATGATAAACTCAAACCCGCTAATTTCATGTGGATTTCGAATTGTGTCATCGTATCGCTACCCGGATTGCCAGCCCTATATTTATGGAGTTGACTGTAAAAAATTTTGTTCAAGAACTAATCCTTCAAACAGACAAAGTTCAAGGGTTACATGCAAAAAAACAAAAAAAAATGTCAAATAAAAAATGTTTTTTAAATTAACAAGGAAAAATCACATTTTATAGTATATGAAAGTATTTTTATTCTTCCTCCTAAAAATATTTATTTTGTCAAAAAAAAACTATTTTTTTTATAATTTTCAAGAAAAAAAATTTAGATCGAATAAAATTGTCACCGAAACTTATCGTAGTTATATAATATTGAAGCTTGTTATGAATTTTTCATTCAGTTTGAGATTGAGATGAACATAGTTTGTGTCCCTCGAAAAAAAAAAAAAACATAGCTTGTGGTGGTGGAATCGTGCGGCCAAAAAAATACCAATTCATAAATTAAATATAAATATAAATTTCTTTCTATAAAAGTACAAAAAGAATCAATTGACCAGCAACACAATAAAATATCCGGCTCCAAAACAAAAATAAAAACTTGATTTTATTTACCAAAAGAAAGAAAATGTCGCTTTTACACTGAAGCGCAATTAAAATGTTTTTGCACTCAGCAAGCATTTTTCCCAGTGTACATATTCTTTTATATATATATATACACATATATATATAAAAAGAGTATTACGTAAATTCTAATGCATCTCTTTTTACATATAAAAAAAATGTATTTTAACAAAATAATCAATCAGCCATGAATTGTGTAATATCTCTATATTATAACCTTTTATTTCTTTTATTATAGTTTCGTTCATTTTTTTTGCTTTATTTTCTAACAAAAAATAATTTTTTCCTATAATATTTTTATGGCAATTCATTGAATTCATAATAAAGTTTCAAAAAGGAAGAATTAATCTTTTATAAAATAGTAAAATTGGCAAAAGAAAAGCTAAAACTTTTTAGAACTTGATATTGCATTTGTTCTAATGTGTAATTTTTGGGTTCCAAAAATATTTGGGATCTACCGATATTACATAGAGAATAATTAATTAACTTTTGATGTTGGTATTAATTATACTTGTTATTATTGTTATCATTTGTTGTTATAGAGAAATTACTTTATGTTAGGAATATTGTGAAAATTTGACATGCAATTAAACGAAAGAGCAATGAATGAATGATATTTTATTTATTTCCATTAAAAAATACATTTTCAATTACCTTGATAATACAATTATTATGCAATACTTCCTAGGGTCTTCTAAGGCTTCGTTTGCTTTACAGATTTGAGTTTTTAATTCGAATTAAGATGTGACATTTTTTAAAAAATTTTAGTTGTAACAGAAAAAATTAGATGTGATATTTTCTGAAAATTTTTAACTATAAAAATCTAAAATTAAAAACTTAAATGAACGAGTCCTAGGAAAACGCTTTGCACTATTGCCCAATACAACGACACAAATGTAAACATGCCCGTTGTTGCTTTCATATTAACACTTGTTCTCTCATGTCATGCCATGTTTGGCAAATTGTATTAGCACTCCATATTATATTACTTAAAATAATGTACATTATATAATTTAATACGAGCTTCAAACTTAATACAAAATGTATTGTGATATCTAATAAGAAAAGAAAAAAATATGTATATTAAAACGTATTATATAATTTAACTTAAAAAGACATATTAAAAAACATATAAAATGTTTCAAAAACAGTAAAGTCCATAATTGGGATAGAGTGGGGATCTGAGACATAACCGGGGTCTAGTTTTGTGGTAGGGATCGGGACCGAGGTCGAGGTTCACTATTGAATTTTGAACTACTGTCTAATTTTCTAAGGTTATTTTTGCAAATAATTTTTAAAATTAAGGTTAAACAATAATTTTATGAAAATTAAGATATCAAAACATAATTTTTATATTTTTGGAAATTGTAAATTAGGTCTCTCAATTTTTAGAAAATTGCAATTTAACTATCAATTTTTTAAAAAAGTTATAATTTGACCTGTTAAAAGAATTTGTGAAAAAAGCCCTTGTTGATTCTTTTTCATTTTCCCTCTTGATTTGAGGTTGGGATCGAGGCCAAAGTCATGATAAGTTAAGGTTAAGGCTAGAAATTTATCTTTTTAAGAGTTCAACACTTAATACAATATGATGCTAAATAGTGGTGGTGTAATGTACTGTTATTAAAATGACACAGAGCGAATATCATATTGCATAATATGTATATAATAATAATACAGTACACCAAACTGTCTTTATTGGCTTTTTTATTTTGTCTACAAGTACAGTATTAATTACACAATCGGAATCATGGAGGTCCCACACCAAAATACGGGGGTCTCAAATTTATATTTGTCTTCCCAAGAAACAAAAAAGTTATACATAAAACCAAAAGCAATTTAAAAAACGTATTTACAATATGTGATATGGTCATTCCATCTGGATATTGTTTGTCCAAAATTCAGCTAATCAATTACCTCAAATACCAATTCTTTGAAAATCACACAAGTCAATGCTTAGATATGGTGCATATTTCATATGGAAAAGCGTATCTTGTGCCTTAAGCATAGTTAATGTCGGAAAAAGTTAAGGTACTGAGTTTACAAGATAAAGAAGAAAAAGGCAATTTGCAATGACCTACAGGGCTTTATGTGAACAAAAGACGAAACATCGGCTAGATTGTTGCAAAAGGAATTTATTACTTTCTTTTTTGTGTTTGGTTCATTTTACTTTTTATTTTTCAAGATATATATATATATATATACACGAAGCAGATCTAAGCAACAAGTAATATTGGGTTATCCTAATACAGTCGCACAAAATGAAAAATTAAAGCAACATTATGGTACCTAGATTCGTTCCCTGATTTAAATCATGGTTCGTGGTTCGCTACAGTATTTTTTCTCACAAAAAATACACGTAAATCGAAAATAATTCTAATCACATGGTTTGAATTCATGAACCAAACGCCAAATCTCAAAATAGAGATAGAAAATTTCACTAACATGAGCGCATATCAACGGTGTACTTTGAAGGAAAAATACTATTTATCACCAATAGTGATTATTACTACTTGTTTTTTGTAATCAATTAGAGACTGATCTATAAGATTGTATGAAATCTTATACTATAATTTGAAAAAAATGCAGTGATGAAATGGTACATATTGTCGATGAATTTGAAAAGTATCAAACTAACATTCTTGCATATGAATGTTGTACGCATTTATCACCAATGATGATTATTATCTATCTTTTTTAATCAATTAAAGATTGATCTATAATAGTATGTGTGAAATCCTATATCATAATTAAAAAAATGTGGTGTTGATTACTAAACGGTGAAATATCATCCTGAATTTGAAAACTATCAAATGAATAAATATACGAATTTTGACAGGAAAAAAAAAAAGAGTTTAATGCATTTCCTTTATTTGTCACGGGGGTCCCAAACTATGAAAAGATATTTTAGGGATGTGATATTGTGGTCTCCATTATTCTACCAATTCTTCTCCTTATTATTGCTCAAGCCAGTTGGTGATTCTCACTGATTGTAACCTATGCTTCTGTAGCCTTTTTTTTCGCATTTTCGATTAATTACAAAATCTCAGTTACTATTTTTCTGCCGACAACGCCTTTTAGGCCCCATGAAATGACTCAAATGTATAAATACGTTTTGTACTCCCTACACATTATTGGACGACAATTGTTTTCATAATCTAATTAGAATAGACTACTTATTACATTAAACATTTTTGAGTACCATGTATTTGCTAATACATTATTAGATTTCGAATTAAAGAAAAAAGGCATTTTAATATTCACATAAAAAAACAACTTTAATATTTGTCACGGTACAGTTTCTAGTACATAGAACTTGTAACCGTAGGATTAGAATATGATCCATGTAAACCTTACAATTCAATGACCATAGAATTTTTTTTTAATGGAAAGACATTTACCAAAAACAATTGAAATAAAACAAAGCTAAAGAGGATCTCCGAGAGAACTCTTTAAATTTTAACTAAACTCTAACTAAAATAGTTAGAAAGTTATTTTAACTAACAGTTGATCAAAAATAAGGGATCATGACTTTTCTCCTTCCTTAAACCAATACCTAAATAAGAAAGCACTGACCATCTAAGGTTATCCTTCACGATGATCTTTACACGTTGTCCATCCTCCTTATCTAGTTGTTTGTGAAAACAATAACTGAAAATCTAATTTTTTTTTTAATAAAACAAACATAAATATAATGCACAAAGTCGTAGAGAGATTGATCACAAAGACCTTAAAAAGAAGGCGACACTTATATATATATATATATATCATGTATTCCTATTATTTATCCTTAATGTCCCTTTTTTTCACTTCAAATAATTAAGAAACTTTTTAATAGGCATAGTAGAGACAGCAATACAATCCTTTGATACTTTTTTTTTTTTTTTTTTTTTTTATGGGAAAATGGATTGCATTAAGAAAAAACAGCCATATTGGCACTTATAATAGAAACAATACATCAGGAAATTCTTCTAACTAATACTATCTTCTCTTAAAAAAAAAGATAACTTAACTAATGTGTGGACAACCACATTACAATAACGTAAAATATGACTACAAAAACCATCATTCGCACTATGCACTATTTTGACACCTAAACTCATTATAACAAGTTGTAGTAAAAAATGGTATTTTTGCCTGAATAAAATAAAATATTTGTTTATAACACATGGATGCCCATTCTTCTTATTCTTATTCTTTATTTATTTATGTATTTTTCACTCTTTAGTTACTTACATCTGTTAATGTGTGGGAATGAGTATGGTAAGGTAAGTTACGGAGAAATGTCTAAGAACTAGGCCTTCATGACACATTATAATAAACACGGAGGATACGGTCAAATTAGCCATCAGCCCATCACCAAATAAAATAAAATAACACGTTCTTTTCTATCTTCATGCATATGCTACAAATCATAATCTGTCGGCCCATCTGTCCCTAAAATGCCTCGTTCATTTCATGCGCGCACCGTTGCTCACGATAATCGTCAGATTGAGTCCTTTCCATCCTTAATTAATAATTAATTGAGATAGTACGTTAATATACTATTAGATAAGAGTGGTAATTTATATTATATGTCGTGTTTGCGTTGTATTTTGATTATTTTTTTTTTAAATTTATAGTCAACTCACACACGATCTGTGACATGAAATTTTTTAAAAACCGAAATAAGAACACGACACGATAACTTTACGGGCTGACATGACACGACAAGAAAATGACCCGTGACATGAAAATTATATACTTTTATTTATTTTTTACATATTAAAAATAACTTAAAATTCATAATACACTAAAATATAATAAAATCCATCAAAATTAAGCAAATAATAGTATAAGATTTTGAATATATCTATTATGATATCACAAGTTCATAATAAAATTTAAAATATGTAATGAAAAATATAATGTATTTTTTAATTTTTTACGAGTTTCGTATCGTGTTTGAGTTATGCGGATCCAACCTGAAATTAACCCGTATTTTTCGTGTCAATTTCAAGTCAACCAAATTTTGATATGAACTTCTTTTTCTCAACCCTAAATTCGTGTCATTTTTGAGTCGGGTTGTCATGTCGTGACCCATATTGTCGGTACTATCAATAGGTCAAGTTTTTTATCCATTACCATATGTATAAAAACACGTAAAAGTTTAAAAGTAAGCAGATTCAACTGTTAAAAATTTAACCTAATATTTTGTTGCCTTCCTCAAGAGAAAAAACAAACTCAGAGGGAGTGAAAATTGGAGGGAGGTAATTTAACATATTTTCCATTTGAGCGTGGAATTATTAGGTACAACATTGAGAATTTTACCAGTTATTATAAAACTAATTAGCCGTTTTACTGCGTTCCTAATTTCTAAATACAAACCCTTTTAGTAATTTCAGCAAATTAACAATGATGATTACTGTGAAAATCAAAAAAAGGAAAAAGAAAAAAAAAAAGAAAAAGAAAGGACGGCAATGTGAAAAGTGGGTTTTGCACGTCAAACTGGCTAGATCCACGACAATGGGATAAATTAGGGACTATCTAACAATAATACTAATAAACATATAAAAAAAGCTGAATTTTGAAGCTGACTTTTTTGATTAAAAATCTATAATTTTTAAAACAAGTAACGTAAATTTTTTTGTAGGAAAACTAATGTAAATTATATCAAATTAAAAAAATATAATAATTTAATAAAATTTAATTAGAATTCAATTAAGCAATTAAAAATATATGTCCCATCCATAAGCAAATATTTTTTAAAATGTTTATTTTAAGAGTTTATTTTTAATTTTAAATTATATTTTTAATTTTTTATAGTATTTTTTTTGTAAATAATTTAAATTTTAAAAATTAAAATCATAAATCATAACTCTGAATTTAAAAATATTATATTAAATAATAAATTATAATTTAAATAATGACACGAATGAGTCTAGTTCATACTTAGGATTCTTTAGAAAAAGAAAAATTCTAAAAAGACAAAAGAAACAAATGAAGAGAAATAATCCTAATAGTATCATTCTGATCCTGGGAGAGGAAAGATAAATATGAGATTCATCAGAAACAGTTTTCTTTGCTCTAAAGGAGTCCGTCTTAAGAAAATGGTGCATATGGTCTAGCGCAAACGCTGATCTCTCTCTCTCTCCTCTCTCTCTCTCTCTCTCTCTCTCTCTCTCTCCCCCCTCAATCTCAACACACACAAGTAAGTAGTACTTAAAGTTACTACTACTATATCTGACCACTTTCTCGGCAAAATTCTCCTTTTTGTCTCTCTCTCTCTCTCTCCTTTCTCTTTCTATCTCTATCACAAGCTCGATTCAGTTGCAGAAAATAAAGGGCCGAGATCTTCACTGAATCCTCGCAGTTTCCTCCACAAATCCCGATCCGAATGAGGTCCGCCACCAAAGCCACGCTCAATCCTCTCGTCGCCTTCGATCACAAGAGGTACGCTTCTACTCTCTTTCTCTCTCTCTCTCTCTAAATTATTCGTCATGTCACATTTCCTAGGGTTTTAGGATTCATCTCTTTTTGTATCTGTTTGATCTGCCGAGTTTCTTTCTGTTGCGTTTTTCTCGGAAGGAATTTTGTTTTTTTTCTTGAATTGTACGGATCGCGTGGATTTGGTGCCGCTTCATTGTGTTTAGGTTTTGATTTTGGTGGAAATTGATTCCGAGCGGCTCAATTGGTCCGGTCTGCTCGTGATGAGAATTTCCGGTTTTCATCGTGATCTCGCTTTGAATTGTTGTGAAGTTGCTAGGATTTGAGTGTTTTTTAGTTGATTGATTCTGTTTTAGAAAGTTAGGGTGGAATGTGGGTCTGGTTTATAGTAGATTGAGACTGTGCCGACGCAATGCCGAGTGTTTTGGGATGTAGAAGTGAGTTTTTGTGCAGAGTATGTTTTCGTCAAGCCTGAGTTGGTGATCCCTGGAAGCCGATTGTACGTAATTTGAGCGGGATTTCGTTTGATTCAAGCTTGAATTAGATTATTTTGTGGCGGGGATTGTATGCGGGTTGTTCGAGTTTGACTGTGATTTTGAACTTGTTCTGGGCTAGTATGGATTGGTAGGTGAGAAATTAATGGGAAATTGGTGCTGGACAGGGATGCCTATGGCTTTGCTGTGAGACCTCAGCACGTCCAGAGATACAGAGAATATGCCAACATTTACAAGGTTTTGTTCTACTTATGGTCTTTTACTTTTTATTTTTTGACAAGTATAGTTTGCTGAAATAAAGCTGTGAACAAGGGAAAAAAAGAAAAAAAGAAGAAGGAAAGATAAGAGTGTTCTATGATTGTTTTTACTTTTTGACTGTTTGAACATGATGAGATTTTTAACGTTTGATTATTGTGACTTCTGCTTTTACGTTCTCAGGAAGAAGAAGAAGAGAGATCAGATAGGTGGAATTCTTTCCTAGAGCGCCCAGCAGAGTCTACTCAGTTGCCTGTCAATGGAGAATCTGAAGTAGAAAATAACAAGTCCTTGCATGTTGAAGCTTCAGGGCAAGAAGTAGATGCTAGTTTGGAGAAAGGTGTTGCTGATGACGATTTTAGTGGTGAGGAACCTGGTTCCAATGATTCAACTGAAAATGTCTCCAATAAAGAGGATGAGCCCACTCAACCTAGTACCAAGGAGAAAAAACTTCATAGGATCCAAATATGGACTGAGATTAGACCGTCTCTTCATGCCATTGAGAACATGATGAGTATCCGTGTAAAGAAGAAAAGCAACTTGTCAAAAGATGAGCAGGACTTGGGAACAGGGAAGCCTCTTTCTTCTATTGAGGAGGCTAGGTCTCTGAAGGGAGCATCTGAAGAGGATTCCGAGGATGAGTTTTATGATGTAGAAAGGTCGGATCCAATTCAGGATGTTGCTTCAAGTGACAGTGCGAGTTCTGCTGTGGGTGGTGCTTCTGATGGGATACCTACGGAATCTTTATTTCCTTGGAAAGAAGAATTAGAGGTTCTTGTTCGAGGGGGAGTGCCAATGGCTCTTAGGGGAGAGGTGTGTATCACATCTTTGAGCTGTCTTTTATACCATTAAGTGCATTATTGATGAATAACATCTGTACTTATTACCAAATTTTCAGCTTTGGCAAGCCTTTGTGGGTGTAAGAGCACGGCGTGTGGAGAAATATTACCAGGATCTTTTAACTTCAGAAACCAATTCTGGCAACAAAGTGGAACAAGGAGTCTCGGAATCAGAGAGCAAAACTAGGGGCTCAGCTCCAGATGCCACATGTGTACCTGAAAAATGGAAAGGGCAAATTGAGAAGGTTATTCATTATTTGGTTTTGTAAATTTCTGTGTTCTGTATGATTGCCACCTGCGTTTTCTAAATTCTATAAGCTCAAGTTTCTGAACTTATAGTTGCTGTTTCTAAGTGCAGGATTTGCCTCGAACATTCCCAGGTCATCCAGCTTTGGATGAGGATGGTAGAAATGCTTTGAGGCGTCTACTTACTGCCTATGCACGGCATAATCCTTCTGTTGGGTACTGTCAGGTACTTGGTTTCAAATGTGTTGTTTGTTCCAGTGTACGACGATACTCTCAAATTTTTTGTCTCGAACGTTGAAGTTGTTGAATTCAAACTATATCTAGGCCATGAATTTCTTTGCTGGATTGTTGCTCCTTCTCATGCCTGAAGAGAATGCTTTTTGGTAAGTTCATAAGCTTTTTTGATAAGCTGGTAAGTTCATAAACTTGTTTGAGAAACCCTTTGTTCACTTTCCTGATCTGTCCCTTATACTCAATATTGAATTTTGTGTTTGCTGCCCATTTTACAAAAGCAGAGCGCCTTTAATATGATGGACATGTCATATTTTTATATGATAGATTGCTTTCAGTTTCTTTTTTTAGTTTCCTGGTATAATGCATGACAAAATAAGTAGCATGTTTCGCATTTTACTTTTCAAATAAGAACTTAATTGGCTATAATCAGGACCTTGATGGGCATTCTCGATGATTATTTTGATGGCTATTACTCAGAGGAAATGATAGAATCACAGGTAATGTTTGCTACCAAATTATAACTATTTGGTGTTTCTTACTTTTATTTTTATTTTTTCTTCTGGTGTCAATATGATACATTTAGAAATTGATGGTATATTCTGTTGAATTCTTGCATTTTGTCAGGTAGATCAACTTGTTTTTGAGGAGTTAGTGCGCGAGAGATTTCCTAAACTGGGTTTGTGTATCTTGATACTTTTTCCAAGTTCACTGTTTGATACGTGTTGCAAAGTTACTAAATGTCAAATTAACCATCAATTGCAGTCAACCATCTAGATTACCTGGGAGTGCAGGTGGCATGGGTCACAGGACCATGGTTTCTTTCCATTTTCATGAACATGCTTCCATGGGAAAGTGGTCAGGTTTTATATGTATCTTTAGAAATTGAGAATGCATCTTAGAATTTTCTGCATGTTCCTGATAGATGATTTTTTTTGTTTTTGTTTTTGTTTTTTGTTTTTTGTTTTTGTGTGTGAATGCATGTCCCTGATAGTTGGCTATGCACTATTTTTGCATGCTCATAGTTGGCATGTAGTTTCTTCATCAAAGCTTACTAGAATTTTGATGGCTTTCTATTCGCTTCAGTTCTTCGAGTATGGGACGTGCTTCTTTTCGAAGGAAACCGTGTCATGTTATTCAAAACAGCTCTTGCTTTGATGGAATTATATGGTAATTTGGAACGATGTTGTGTTTTCTTTTAGTAAATTCAACATTTTTGTCTTGAAATTTAAAATAGCTTGGTTACTTGTAGGTCCTGCATTGGTTACAACAAAAGATGCTGGAGATGCAGTCACTTTGTTACAATCACTGGCTGGCTCAACATTTGATAGCAGCCAACTCGTATTGACAGCTTGCATGGGCTACCAAAATGTAAATGAAACTAGGTTGCAAGGGTTGAGAAATAAACATCGGCCAGCTGTGTTAGCGGCAATTGAAGAAAGATCAAAGGGACTTAGGGCATGGAAGGATTCTCAGGGTCTTGCATCTAAACTCTATAGTTTTAAGCAAGATCCTAAGTCAATTATGATTGAAACAAAGAAAGGAGAGAGATTGGTTGATACACAAACAAATGGCAATTTATCTCGTTCTGAGTCTGGGTCCTCTAATGCAGATGAGATTCTTATTAGCTTGACGGGGGATGGGGAGATAGATTCTCTTCCAGATCTTCAAGAGCAGGTTGTTTATATGTTTTTAATTTTTCTATTATAATTTCTTGTTTAAAAAACATAGGAAAATAATGCATTTTTTCTCTGCCAAGGAATCTAGGGTAAGAGCTAGATAATGAAGAAGAGCTATTACTCCTGTGTTCTATTTGCAAATTATCTTGATGAAGATTATCCATTAGATCTTACCATTTAACCTTTAGGGCATGATGTGAAATATGAATCATTACCACCATGCCATTTTTCTTTTTATTTCTGTACCTCAAGTCACATTGAAACGATGACCTGGATTTGTCATTCAGTTGTTTCACATGTAAATTTAGATGATTATTTAGATTGGACATGAGTCAAAGTGTACATTGGGAGTTAATACATGAACAACATGCAGGTGGTGTGGTTGAAGGTTGAATTATGCAGGCTACTTGAGGATAAAAGATCTGCTTTACTCAGGTTAATATTCTCTTTCTGATGCTGGTACAAAATGACGATCCGCTTCAATAAGTTGGGTGTAAGGTTTGTTGTGCTAGAGTGTGTTTATTCAAATTTTACTTCATAGTCTTTTCTTTCTTACCCAGATAGGAGATTTTTTTTTAAAAATAAAATAAAATTAGCATTTGATCATTTGATACAGAATTGATCTTGTTTTCTGCATTCCATGCCACTTAGGGGTTAAGGATCTTGTAGAAACTAAAATAAGCCTTCATCTTTGATTTATTAGAAATCATGTGGATTGAGACTGTTGGGCTGTTTGAACCGTGTTACTGTCTTTTTAGCATCTGGCATGTGAAGGGAGCATTTTTTGACGGGAAAGAATTTGAAGACTTTCTTGACTGAAGCTTTCAGTTGAAGCGTCTTTTGATGATCTTCCTGTGTTGCTAGAGACGTCTTTACATTTGGTTCTCTGCTCCATTGTTTTCCTTTTGTTTTCATGAACAAGTGTTTTTTAACACGTTATGTTGACTGTTCCGAATATGCACTTTGCAAGGTTTTTCTGTTGCTTGGTGCTTTGCACGATTTTGTCTGGTAGCTATGAATATCACCGGCCATAAAACTGAATTGGTGCTAATCTCTTTTGTGAGATCTAACATTTAAAGTCACTATTTATTTTAAAGAAAGCTTGCATTCTCCTAAATTATGGTTAGCTTAGATTGAGTCATGAAGTGTTCTCGCCCTTAAGTCACTTAGATAATCATCTTCTGATATAATAGATTGGTTTATTTTCTTCTTTTTGTTATTTTTGTCAGAGCTGAGGAACTGGAGACGGCTTTAATGGAGATGGTAAAGCAGGACAATCGACGGCAATTGAGTGCCAAGGTTTGATTAAAGTGCATTTGCTTACAATTTGCATTTGCTTACAATGGTTGTTCCTTATATTAATTTAGGTGAACTGCGTTTGTTTTTTTTCCCTTGTCAAATATTTTGTTGGAAAAAAAAAATATTTTGCTTTATTACTATAAAAATCTGTCTCACGTTGAAAGTGAAGCTTTATATTCTGATTCTCTTTGATTCTTTGGATATAGTTTCTTCAGTGATACTGAAAACAATAGGGTTCAAATTAATAATGCACGATGGTTGTTTTTCTTTTTCCAAAATGCTTCATTTATTCTTTTGTAGTCATTGTGTAGTTCTTGAAGTTTCAAGAGAAAATGGGTTTCGAATATATAACTTCTTATTTGTTAAGATACTTCATCCTCGGAGTTTGTCTTATTGCCAGGTTGAGCTGTTGGAGCAAGAGGTTTCTGAGCTTCGCCAAGCTCTTTCTGACAAACAGGAACAAGAAAATGTCATGCTCCAGGTTTCTTTTCCTCTTCCTTGATTGCATGCCTGATAGCTTATATCCCTTCTTTCTCAAGTTGGTGTGGCCTTGGCATGATAATTGTGATTTGCTCACTGACTGCCCAGGTCTTAATGCGGGTCGAACAAGAGCAAAGAGTAACAGAAGATGCTCGCAGATTTGCTGAGCAAGATGCAGCAGCACAGAGATACGCTGCTCAAGTGCTTCAGGTTATTTAAACCGTCTTTTAGGCAGTTATTGTATCAGATGCCTTTTAAAATTTTCGTGGAGAATAAATTGATTCTTACATGAAGTTTCTGTCTGTAACAAGTTGGTTGAGACCATATAAGATATGGTTGAAGTGACGCCTGGAATAAAATGGGGGCTTAGGTCATGTATGAAATAATCTCTTGGATGTGAAAGTTGGAATCATAAACCATTACACTCAACTCCCAAGGAAAAAAAAAAATTAACCATCAATTCATCTGTCAAGAAAAACAAAAAACTGGCATAAGCAACCATTTTTTTCGTTCTCTCTCTTTCTCCTTATTCATGCACCTTGTAGTGGTTTCATTTTTTCATGTCTTCCTTTTTCTCCTAATCTTACGAATAGAAAGAGTTCAGACTGTCCGTGCCTAATTTTTTCAGATTTCTTCTGGGAGCTTAATTATGTTCTGATATTTTATGTTTGTTTTCCCAAATGTCTGCTGCAACAACTATATTGATACAGGAAAAATATGAAGAGGCCACTGCTGCACTAGCTGAAATGGAGAAGAGAGTGGTTATGGCAGAGTCCATGTTGGAGGCTACTTTGCAGTACCAATCTGGACAACTTAAAGCCCAACCTTCTCCAAGGTCAGTTGAAATGGTTCATTCTGTTTTAAGCGTATCGCTTAAACAAGAAAATTTTCTCAGTATCTTTTTCACTCTCCTTCGAGTTTCAAGTAATTTTTTTTTTTTCAAAAAAAAAAAAAAAAAAAAAAAAAAAAAAAAAAAAAAAAAAAAAAACAAAAAAAAAAGATGTGATTATAGGTGGGTGGGTGCCAAAGCATGGATGAACTTGGACTGTGAAATTAAAAGGAAAGTGTTATTTTGTAGATCCTCTCGTCCAGATTCACCCGCACAAAACAACCAAGAGCAAATGCAAGAAGTGCCTGCGAGAAAGATTAATCTACTATCCCGACCATTTGGACTTGGCTGGAGAGACCGCAACAAGGTTAGCTTTGACATTTAGTCTCTTAATACGTGTAACTACTTGGTTGCTGCAACAATTGGTTAATGTAACAGATGGGGCTGTTGGATAAAGACTGCAGCCCAATTGTAAATTAAAGGAAAGGTAATCTAGAGCTGTATCCCCTGTATTTCAATTATCGGTACATCTGCACCTTTACATTGGACAATAGCCATAGGCTTGTAAGAGAAATTCGGATTTAGGAGGATGAAAAGAATATAGAAAGCAAGAAGAGGGTTTGAGGCGTATAAGAATATTTTCCTTTAAGGTTTTATTTGCCATCACTTCTCAAAGTTTGCTAATGAGTTTTAATGGTAAATTACCCCCAAGATACAACAAACCCTTGAACACAATATCCAGCAAAAAATATTGAGTTCCAGAACAATAATAAGTCTGTATTTTCTGAATGCATTAATTAAAGACAAGGATGCAAACATATTCTTTAACTGTTACAACCTTTCACATAAAGATACCTTTCCAAACTGAAGGTTATCTTTTATATGCTGATGCACTTATAACAATAGTTATATCTATTGTTAATAAGTACTCAGATATGTGAGAAAACATATCACAAATGGATGCAATGGTTCAAGTCCTTTTCAGATCACTAAAACACATAAAAACACGTTTTCCGGTAGCAAATTGCGCTGCAGCGGATGACATTCACGCTGCAGCGCTCGGGCATCGCAAAACAGACCCGAGAGGTCTGTTTTGTGCGCGCTGCAGCGCGCGCTTGTGCGTGCCAGTTCTTTCCGAATGTGTTTTAGGCCAATATTTTTTTGTGATATCGAAATTGAGAGATATATTACAATCTCTCTAACAATCACCCACTAGATTGTAATATTTCTCCAGAATTAACAACGATAAACACATACATACATGAATGTATCTTTCGATTTTAACCTTCATTTAGTGACTATATTTCAAACTTCAAAGTATTTACAAGACAATAGTGTGCTTTGTATTAAACTTTGTCTCTTAAGTAAATACCGGAAATATATCACATATGTGTTATCACAGACTTAAAAACTGTTCCAATCGTTTAGTACTATTCCGGCCTTGTGCTCTATCTTGGATTCATGAACATTTACAAGACTAAACTAAGGTCTTGTTAGCAACGACACCATTCCTTATGTTCATTTAGGTGAAGATTTGAATTATATCTCTAGTTACTATGAGACTCGAACTCCATTAAGAGTATAAACTCAACCTCAACCACGTAGGTATTTTTGTACCGATATCTTGGAAGAGACTAATTAACGTTCGGCGCTAACCCGGTCACATAACAATAATTTGTTCTTACCCATTTAACTATGGAATAGCGGTACAATTATTACATAGTTGGGTAACCATCATTGGTGACTCTTTCAAAGAAAGGTTTCAGTCCCATTCCACTAGATGTTTCTTTGACTAAGTCTCTTGAAAGACCTTTCGTCAAATGATCCGCTAGGTTCTTGTTTGTCCTAACATAAATAATATTAATAACACCATCGGTTATTAATTGTTTAACATATTCATGTCTCAAGCTAATATGTCTAGATTTTTCATTATAAACTTTGTTATAAGCTCTAGACAAAGTAGTTTCACTATCGCAGTACAAAGAAATGGATGGCATCGGTTGTGGCCACAATTCAATATCAAACAATAGATTTTTTAGCCATTCCGCTTCTTTGCCTGTAGCGGCAAGTGTTATAAACTCACTCTCCATCGTTGAGTGAGTTATGCACGTTTGTTTCTTAGAAGCCCAAGAGACGGCTCCTCCTACAATTGTGAAAATCCAACCGGATGTGGATTTATTATCACTTGCACTTGTTATCCAACTTGCATCCGAGTACCCTTTAAGTACGGTCGGATAGTCATTATATGATAAACTCAAATTAATGGTTCTTTTAAGATAACCAAATACTCTTCCAATTGCATTCTAATGTTCAATACCTGGGTTACTCGTGAACCTAGACATTTTGCATATTGCAAATGCAATGTCGGGTCTTGTATAATGCATAGCATACATTAAGCTACCAATCGCACTAGCATATTCAAGCTGTGCCACCGCTCGGCTTGCATTCTCTAGTAATTTAATACTAATATGATATGGGGTATTTGCTTCTTTAAACTTCAAATGATTGAATTTAAGAAGCACCTTCTCAATATAATGAGATTGACACAACGAGTAACCCCCACTATGCTTCTTCACTCTTACACCTAAGATAGTATCTACCTCACCAAGATCTTTCATCTTAAGTTGTGAAGTTAGATATTTCTTGGTATCATTTACCCCTTGCATGTTTGTTATAAAGATAAGCAAATCATCAACATATAAGCATATTATCCAACCAAAATTATTTGTAAATTTAGAGTATATGCATTTATTCGCATTATTATGCTTAAAACCATGAGATAAAATGACATTATCAAATTTCTCATGCTATTGTTTTGGTGCTTGCTTTAAACCATAAAGTGATTTGACTAACTTGCAAACATTCTTTTCATTTCCAAGTAGTACAAACCATTCGGGTTGTTCCATATAGATTTCCTCATCAAGATCACCATTTAGAAAAGCTGTCTTAACATCAATTTGATGCACATGTAAATTGCATATTGATGCAATTGCAAATAGTACTCTTAGGGATGTCAATCTAGCTACCGTAGCATATGTATCGAAATAGTCTATACCACGCTTTTGTTTAAAGCCCTTAGCTACCAATCTAGCTTTGAATGTTTGTATAGACCTATCGGTATTGTACTTTCTTCTAAACACCAATTTGTTGCTTATTGGTTTTGATCCCAGAGGAAGATCGACCAAGATCCAAGTTTGATTCGAGATAATCGAATTTATTTCATCATTCACGGCCTCTCTGCAAAAGAAGGCATCCCTTGAAGACATAGCTTCATTAAATGTCTTTGGATCTTCTTCTATATTAAGTAACAATGGTATTTTATTAAGTACACCATTTCTATCTCCTTCAACAAAAAAAGTTAAAGCTTGAGATGAAATAAAATCCGGTGCTAAATCCTTTTCTTTTCTTTCACGTTGACTTCTTCTCGGTACGAAATGTCATAGACTCTTTCCTTTTATTAGTGGAGGTACTGGGAATGTCAACATATGATCGATTAACATTAGATTCTAATTCAATGGAAGAATCAAGGCTAAACATATTCTCAACAAATTCAACGTCTCTTGATTCCACAATAACATTAGAATTTAGATTCAATAATCTATAAGCATTGAAATTTTCAGCATAACCTACAAAAACACTTCTAATTCCTTTAGCTCCTAACTTTGATGATTTCGGGTCAATCATTCTATAAAAGGCTAGACAGTCTCACACCCTTAAATACATTAAGTTTGGTTTTTTTCCTTTCCATACTTCATATGGAGAGACATGTGTTTTCATAAATGTAATCCTATTGTGAACATGACATGTTGTAAGTAAAGCTTCTCCCCATAAATTATTAGGCAATTTAACATTAAGAATCATAGAGTTAATCATATCGGTAAAAATTATATTCCTTTTTTCAGCCAATCCATTTTGTTGAGTAGTAAAAGGGGCTGACTTTTGGTGAATAATTCTACGCTCTTCACAGAAAGCATCAAATTCATTTGAGAAATATTCACCACCTCTATCACTTCGAATCATTTTGATCTTCTTGTCTTTTTGGTTCTCAATTTTAGCCTTATAAATTTTAAATTTATCAAAGATTTCATCTTTTGTTCTAAGTAAATACACATAAATGTATCTAGAACAATCATCAATAAAAGTGATAAAGTATCTATTTTCTCCTCTAGTCAAAATTTCATTATACTCATAAATATCGGTATGAATCATATACAATATTTGAGTATTATGTTCGGCTCTAGCAAAATGTTTCTTAGTTATCTTTACTTGTATACAAATTTCACACTTATAATTTTTAATATATTTGCAATTAATCAAACCATGTTTAGACATATATTTCAAAGATCTAAAATTTAAGTGTGCTAAACGTGCATGCCAAACATCAAAAGAATCAACAATATAAAGAGAATTCATATAATCTTTATTATTAATACTTAGTTTGTACATGCCATCACAAGAATATCCATTTCTTACAAAGATCTCATTCTTAGATACAATACAATTATTACCCTCAAGTACAATCTTAAGCCCATTCTTACACATAAGACTAGCGGATACAATATTTTTCCTAATATCAGGAACATGAAGAACATTGTTTAAAGTAAGCTTCTTTCCGGAAGTAAAGTTAATCTCCACCACTCCTCTTCCGGCAACCATCGCTGCATCATTATTCCCCACGAGAACTGTTTGTCTTTCTTTTTCCACTTTGTATGATAAGAACATAGTCTTGTCATTACAAACGTGGATTGTGGCACCAGAATCAAGCCACCAATCGGAGGATTTAGATGCAGCCATGTTAGTTTCGGTAATCATGCCAATTTGCAATTTCGAGACCATAGCACAAATGTCTTCGGATTTCTCTTCAACGGCATTAGCATTGTTGGTGTTAACTTCTTTATTTTTCTTCTTGTATCTGTAGTCATTTTAGCGATGGCCTTTCTTTCCACAAAAGAAACAATTTTCAGAAAAAAATTTTTGGCCATTACCGGGCTTTTTGAACTTCTTGTCATTATTGACTTTGAAATTCTTTGATAACTTACTAACTTCGGCAACATTAACTTTAGAGGAATCTATATTTTTGTTCTTTGAATCACGAGACTTAGTCTCTTCTTCGATTCTCAAGTATTTTTGTAATTCATCCAAAGTTTTGTCATCTCTCCTATGAAGGAGTTTCTTTCTATAACCATTCCAACTTTGAGGCAATTTAGCAATAATTGCCCTCACTTGGAATGATTCAGAAATCTCAACTTTCAATTCACGAAGCTTAGTAACAATGACTTGCAATTCATGTATTTGATCTAGAACGGACTTGGTATCAACCATGACAAATTCAAGAAATTTCAAGATGAGAAATTTGTCCGTATTTTCCTTCTCAGTTTTGTATTTGTATTCGTGAGCGTTCCAAATCTCCACCGGAGACTCCATCGAGTTGTAAAGATCGTAGAGCCTATCGGAGAGAGTGTTGAGAATATGACCCCAGCACATGACTTCATCATCTCCACGCTTCTTCCTTGCGGTTTTCAATTCTTCGGAATCATCCTCCTTTGGTTCAGAAAGTGGCTCCAATTTCGAATCAAACACGTAGGCGATCTTAAGCACGGTGAGAAGGAAGAACAACTTTCCCTTCTAGCGGGTGAAGTTGGTACCATCAAAACGATCAAGTTGAACATTAGGATTGAGGAAAGACGTCGTGTTCTTTTCAACCTCCATTGCAGTAAGATTAAAACCTTAAAGATTGTAAGAGAAATTTGGATTTGGGAGGATGAAAAGAATATAGAAAGCAACAAGAGGGTTTGAAGCGTATAGGAATACTTTCCTTTAAGGTTTTATTTGCCATCACTTTTTAAAGTTTGCTAATGAGTTTTAATGACAAATTACCCTCAAGATACAACAAACCCTTGAACACAATATCCAGTAAAAAATATTGAGTTCCAGAACAATAATAAGTCTGTATTTTCTGAATGCATTAATTAAAGACATGGATGCAAACATCCTCTTTAACTGTTACAACCTTTCACATAAAGATACCTTTCCAAACTGAAGGTTATCTTTTATATGCTGATGCACTTATAACAATAGTTATATCTATTGTTAATAAGTACTCAGAAATGTGAGAAAACATATCACAAATGGATGCAATGGTTTAAGACCTTTTCAGATCACTAAAACACACAAAAATACGTTTTCCGGTAGCAAATTGCGCTGCAGCGGATGACATTCACGTTGCAGCGCTCGGGCATCGCAAAACAGACCCAAGAGGTCTGTTTTGTGTGCGCTGCTGTGTTACAGCGCTCGGGCATCACAAAACAGACCCGAGAGGTTTGTTTTTTGTGCGCTGCAGCGTGCGCTCCTGCGCGCTGCAGCGCGCGCTTGTGCGTGCCAGTTTTTTCCGAATGTGTTTTAGGCCAATATTTTTTTGTGATATCGAAATTGAGAGATATATTACAATCTTTCTAACAAGGCTGCCGTTCAAATGTCGTAGTTACGGTCACTTACGTTCAATACTTTTGCTGTAGTTGGTGTTGCTTTACGGACTTGCTGTTCATACAGCAAGATGTGCTCTAGTGCGTTTAATGCTCGCAGCATTAATGAGCTGATGCTATGCGCTTGATATGTGTACTCAATTCTGCTATATCTCTCGATCAACAGGCGAAACCCACCAACGTCGAGGAGGTGAAACCCATCAATGTCGAGGAGACGAATGATGGAAAGTTGACAAATCAGGAGGAACAGGATCCGAACACAGAGCAGAAAGAAACAAATGGCCATCAAGTGCAAGATAAGGTGTAGAGGAAAGCAGGTTACAGTGACGCTAGTATAAATTCACTCGCAATTTCCCTTGGTAGATATGCATTACTGTCTATGCCAATCCAGGGAGTGAGACAATTTTCCATGTATTTTTTTTTTCTTCTTTAGACGACCAATTTTACACATTCAATTGCTTGTTTGTTCATTAATCAGAAGTAATATAGCTTGGGAGATAAGGTGATCACCAGAAATGTGAGAATGTCGTTTACGCAAATGTATAATTTTTTTTTTTTTTTTTTGGGCGAATGGTCATGTGTAAGTTCCAACTCTTTAATTATATTACGTATAGTTCTTGGTGGGCACCTCTAAAATGAGGGCTTCTACAATTTTGGGTTTCCATTTTCCATGTTTTCCCTTCCTATCTCACGCAGCATGTTGGATCCATGACGCAGAATAAACGTCTTATTCACCCCAAACAGAAGAGCCAGAAGAGAAAATTGTTGAATATGGTTTGAATTTTTATCATTTATTTTTAATTAATATTCTTTTAATTAATAAAGTTATTTGAGTAAAAATGCTATTAATTAATTACGAGGTAAAAATCTAAATTCATACACTTCTCTTTAATTAAGAATAAGTGGTAAAATTTAGACTCACACTCTAAAGGTATTCGTCTCTTTTTTTCTATTCAGCATTTTTTCTTTTAGCTACTTGTGAATGTTAACAATTCATTTCTTCTACATTTTCATATGGCCATACCATGACGATGTTTAAACATACAACGTGTGGTCTTATTATAGAAGAGCACATTGCCTTGAGTTAAACACTATAACTCTTTTGTAAAGATACAAAACAACAGCCAAGATATGAATTGATCTGTTTTCCAACAACTCATGTTTCTAAATCCTATTTTCTTATTCAAAGAGAACCCCATCTCAGAAGCACAGTTTTTTTTTTTTTTTTTTTTTTACTCTTCTCTATTTGTTTTTAAGATTTTGAGACCTCACTGAGCCGTTTTTCTTTTCCCCATCTTTAGACTAATCAACGTTTTCAGCCCAATTACACTGGAAATTTTGCTAACCAAAAGAAATCAAACAATGGTGAAACTAGAATCAACGTGTTCAAAAAAAAAAAAAAAAAAAAAAAAAAATGGATGATTTGTGGCCTACCTGAACTGAAGAACCCCTAGATGGTAGGTGCTGTGAAATGGATGATTTGTGGCTCCAAAACAATGGCAGAAGAGGGGACGGTGAATGGCTGAGAGAGAAAGGGAGAAATAAACCCTAGAGAGGGAAATACCTTGAAAGCTCTTCTTCTTCGTCTTCTTCTTCGTGTTTCTACAGAAGGAGAGAGATTTTGGAGCTGAAATTGCAGAGAAGAGAGAGAACGTGTGGAATGAAGGAGAAGAATTAAGGATAAAATCATAATTTACTTTTAATATCAGGATTATGAATGACAATCGGGTAGAAATAAAAGGAGTATCAAACCAATTCTTCAACTCTAAATTGATGTAAAACTCCCACATTCTCACTCTCATTCATGAATATAAATGAATAAATAAACATAAAATTAATTCTGAATCCCAATTTTTATTGGACAGCATAATAAGTAAATATGCCATTAACTCTTTCATCTGGGGAGAGTTCCAAGTCCTATAATTATGATGAGGTCATAAATCTTTTCCGTTATAATTCATTGACCAATGCAAACTGTCCCATGAGACCGCACTGATCCACCTACAAGGAACATACATCCACCATGTGTCACACGACAGTGTTTGCGGCATTTTTTAACTTTTGGGCTAGCCATATTATTTATTTTTTCTAAATGATTTAAAGAACTATATTGAATTTTGAGATAACAGAGTAGCCAAATTTCTCGCTGAACATATGGCTCAAATTAGAGGTTATTACTTGTGTCTTTATAGCATGGCCTTCAGACTAACGGAAGGTGAAAACCTCGCGCTGAAATGAATTGGCCGAATAAGAAAAAGTACAAGTCTGAAGGAGAGGACCATTACTCAATCACTTAGAGACGTTTGGTAAAGAAATTCATACCATGATTTGAATTATGGTTTATGATTCGTTACAGTATTTTTTCTCACAAAAAATACACGTAAATTGAAAATGGTTATAATATCATGATTCTAATTCACGAACCAAACGTCTCCACTAAACTAAAAACACAAAAGATAATCTTGATAAATACCTCTTAAAAATACATGGGTCAAGATTTTTACTTTTTATTCTTAATTTATAATCTTTTTAGTTAAATAATTACACTAATAAAAATGTATTTATTAAGAGTAAGAGATAAAGTCTAGACTTATGCACTTTAAAAATAAATTCTACAATTTTCTCAAACAAGAAAAGAAGATCTAGAGCCCATTTGAAAAACAAGTTCAGTATATACTTTTGAATCTCAAATCAAACCATTATTTTGAAGTTTTAAATCAAAAAAAGGAAAAAAAAAAAGACTTACAATCCAACCAACCATTTTGAACCAAAAATAAGAAGATGTTTGGTAGAGGGATTCGTTCCCTAATTCGAATTATAATTCGTGGTTCACTACAGTATTTTCTCTCACAAAAAACATACGTAAATAAAAAATGGTTCGAATAACCTGGTTTGAATCTTCCAACCAAACGTTACCAGATCACATGTTTCAAACTTTCTATTTTAGACAGTAAAAACCATCATATTTTGAACCCATTTACAAAATAGGCCTCAAATCTCGTACTTCTGCGAAAGTCGGCAGATCCTGTTTTGAACCAAAAATTTAGATCGCATGTTTCAAACTTTCTATTTTAGACCACAAAAGCATCATATTTCGAACCCATTTACCATTTAGGCCCCAAATCTCATACTTATACCAAAGTCAAAGCAGATCCAAATCCTATCTTCATTCTTTTCTTTTCAAATAGTAGTTCCCCATAACTCCATCTTTTGCTTGTTGTTCATCAAAGTTGAAAACGATATAGCCGTTAATCTTCATGAGATGAAATTGAGAAATATCTCGAGAATCCAAAATAAGCATGGCACACGATTATCTAAACCTTGCAACTCAAGCTTTGGAGACTGATGAATCAACATACATGAGCACTAGAACAGAGCTGAAGAAAGGATGAGCACATCTATTCACCAAAACAGTAAAATTTCTACAATAAAATGGACACTCTTCTGTTGGGGAAGCCCAGTTTCTATATAGATACAAAAACTCCATTGCTCGCGCAATTGTATATAAAAGAATCTTGTAGAATGACAAAGAGGGAGAGTAATAAAAGTGAAATCGCGAGACGAGAAAAATAAAGAATACAAAGAGGAAAAGTAATATATTATATATTTCTTTTACAACACACCGGGAGTGAGCCACCGCACATGCTACCGAACTGGAAGTTTGATGAACGGGCACTCTCGCAGATGCAGCCAATAATCGTGTACCACCAAGCTCAAATGAACACCTCTTGATACTAAAACCTATTCAGAAGCAACATCCCAAAGCAATATGCTTGGTGACAAGAGTGTAATCACTAGCTGCAGATAAGGTGGAAGTGGAAATGTTGGCAATTTATCTTTTGGCTTGATCTCCAGCCTTACCAAATTCAAAATTCCCTTCTAGATCTAGGAGTGGATGAGCTGGTGTGAAAGCCCTGTACTGAAGCTGTTTCAGGCTCATATTTTTGGTTAGCAAGATAACTTAGGGCTGTGACTACATCGGCTATGAGAGGTCGCATAGTTGGTTGTTCCTGAACACACATCGCAGCAACAGCAAGAGCCTGGTATAAGCCCCTCACTGGATATTGGCCTTGGAGCAGTGGATCTGCCATCTGCGAAAATTTTCTTCGATCTTTAAACAGAGGCCGTGCCTGCAACATAGTTTCCGTTCATGCTTTAGTGGTTTCGATCATCATGCAGAACAATGAAAGAATTCTCTGCAAAAAGTTTATTTGAAACAACATAATAGCATAGCATAGTGTAATTCCTGATGACGTGACCCGCTTACCCATGCAACCAAATTGTGTTCCCCAGCAGACCTTGAATTGTCAATTGCTTTTCGTCCAGTAATGATTTCAAGAAGAACAACCCCAAAGCTATATACATCGGATTTTAACGTGAGCTGACCCGTCATTGCATATTCAGGTGCACAGTATCCATAGGTCCCCATCACCCTGGTGGACACATGGGTTTTGTCTCCAACAGGACCCAACTTTGCCAGGCCAAAATCAGATAGCTTTGGATAATAGCCTTCACCGAGCAAAATGTTAGAGCATTTCAAATCACGATATATTACAGGGGGGTTCGCTTTATCATGCAAGTTCTCCAAGCCCTTTGCGGCACCAGCAGCTATTTTCATCCTTGTGGTCCAGTCAAGTCTTTTCTTATCGGGCGGTAGATCTGAATTAAAAAAAATAAAGTTACTGAACACAATATAGAAGGTAGATAATAAAACACGGGTTTTTTACCCTTATAAGCTAACATTTCCTAAACAATAGTATGGTAATGAGTAATGACAAATGCTTTGCCTACGGGAAACCCCCTATACCTCATAAAGAGCATGATTGGGTGATTTGGATCATTTGTTTAAACTTTTCGTCAAATCTAAAAGAAATTGAAGACAAAACATCAACACTCCTAACAATATGTAAAACTAAATCATTTCAGAACCACCTTAGTGATTACTGCCCTTCAATGTTTTTATAGTCTGACCCACTTATACTCTCATATATCATGGCAGGTGCGATACGGCAAGTATTTAAGAAGCTACAGAGATCAAGAATTTTGGACGATAATGACATTTAATACTTTATAGTATATACCATGTAGATGATCTTCCAAAGATCCCAGAGGCATGTATTCATAAACCAAAAGTCTCTGGTCTCCATCAGCACAATAGCCAATTAGGTTCACAAGATTAGGATGGTGAAGTAAGCTCAACATTAACACTTCAACAAGGAATTCCCTGTTCCCTTGCAAACCATTACGGTCAAGCTGCTTGATAGCAACAACCTACACCAAGCAAGAGAACACCTTCAAGACCCTAAAATGATCTCATCACGTAGGTTGCAGTCCAGAACATACACAATTTTTATTTCTTGACAGGGAAAAACAATATTCATATTTACACTATTTATTGGAATTGTAAAACCCCACAGCAACAAAAACGAACTAACCAAAAAGTTCAGCAACACATATAAGCACCAGAATACAAGTACACTCTCCGGCAAAGAGAACACGGGGTTTTTTTTTTCTTTCCCTTTAAAAAGTAAATAACATTTTAACCTGAGAAAGAAAGAGTATAAAATTATTCTGAGAGTTGTTTGCAATCCTCACTTAATATCTAGATGAATTTGTCATTTATTTAATGGAACAGAGAAAGCTAAGTTCCTGTTCCAATGTTCTCTAATATCATTGCAAGTAGTTTAAGTTCGAGTTTATGTGGTGGAGTTGGTATGGTAGAATAGAAAGCAAGAATTTCCAAAAATGTGGTGACAACGTGGAAGTGCTCCACTGGAAAAACTAATTATCCAGCGGACCAGTGGCGGTGGTGGTTATACGAGATTGTAATGATGGCTGCTATCACAGATGAGTTGCAATGGCTTGAGGTGACAGATGAATTGACCATGGTGATGAGACAAAGGCAGATATGTAACGGTGATCATAGATAGTGCTTTTTTTTCCTTTTTCTTAATCACTAGTGCTGAAGCAACAATGCTGGCAGAAAAACACGTGCTTCCATGAGGTCACACCCTCCACATAGGTTAAGTTACAATTTGGTCTTTTGCCATACAAACTTTGTTATTATATCGTTAAGGAATTAAGGAGTGCAAAAAGCAAATCACTCCACTTAAAAATTGCAATGTCAAAAAAAAAAAAAAAAATCCCAATGTTAGATGATTAACATTGAAACCATAGAACCGAGTAGGAATATGATACATTCAGGAAAGAAGTACCTGACTAGTACTCTCCAAGCGCCCTTTGTAGACTCGACCAAAACCTCCTTCACCCAAAAGACAATCGGCTCTAAAATTCTTTGTTGCCGCTGCCAATTCACGAAATGTAAATGTATGTGCAGCAATGTGATCAGACCCTCCATCCCTAGAGCTTTCCTTTTTTCCGTCGACTGAGTTAACTTTCGATTTTTCTTCAAAAATAAGTGAAAAAAGAGAAGGAATAAAATCCTTAGAAAATTGCTTACTAATGCGTGAATTATCTTGGTAAAGTCCAAACGAGATTTGGATGTTGTCACAAAGGTAAGCAGTCCATTACCAAGATTAAGAGTTTAGAAGGAAAAACAGAGAATAAGAAAAAGACAAAACAAGTACGTTAAAAAAATTAATATTTGGTTCCTTTCAACAATTTGATACAAAACAACAACCCATTAAAATATAACACCCAATCGTTCCCATATACATAAAGGACCTGAAACAATTTTCGAACCATCCGAAATCTTTCAAAGCAAGTTGGCCGAAAACAATATGTTAACTAACGGCATGCCTCTGAAACAAGAAATAAACCATACACGTATGTAAATAAGTATTTCTGACAACTTTCTGAAACAAATGGGTTTCAAGTATTAAAAATTTGGTTAATTAAGAGCATTGCTGCATCAGTAAGTATGATCTCTTCTTCAAGATGCATCTCATTGGCTAAAAAAAAGACAAAAGCACACCCAATTCAATACAGTCTTGTTTACTTAGGAACTAACATAAAAACTACAGAAAATTAACCTTTTTTTTCCTTTTTTTTAAACAAATAAACATGTATCAGATAGTAGAAAGAAAGTAAGTAAATCAGCTACAATAACTCGACTTAAGTCTGATAATAACTCGTTATTGGACAATCCTGACATGAAGTCCAGCAAAAACCCGCAACTGAAAAAGAAAATTCCAATTTACCCAACACAGAATTCGAACGATTAATTCTATAACAAACCCACTTTAGCTCGAGAAAAATGCTTTACAAGTGAAAAGGGTAAAAAATTATGCCTCCCATAAGGTTCACTGAATTCAACTCAGATCGAAATTATGATGAAAACCCAGAAAAGAATTGATTTCATCATCTAAAAAAGTTGCATTTTCTCGTCAATCTAAAGCAAATCTATAAAGTCATCTGAATAGAATCAAGTAATGCTAAAAAAAGAAAAAAAGAAAAACATAATTTCGATTAAGAGTAGAAAATTTTTGTCAAGTAATGTTTGAAGAGAATAGAGATAATTACCTGAAGCTGATGAGATCTGATCCTCTGGCTTCTGAGAATGCTTGTCCTTGTTCGGATTTTTGTTTGATTTTCCAGAACATAAGAACCAAAACATTGTCTGTATATTTCTCTCTCTTACCTCAACCAGTCTCACTAGAGAGAGAGAGAGAGAGAGAGAGAGAGAGAGTTAAACTCAAGACAAAGGGTTTTTTTTTTCTGTATATATCTTTCAATTTTTGCATGCGTGCCCCTTTGTCTTGCAAATATTCACGCAAAGCCCTTGAAGAATATATTTTTGAGCTTTATCAACACGTAACAAAATTTTACTAGACAATAGCAAAAATTAATATCAATAAAATAATCATTGCGTACCTTTATAGTTTAAAACATGTATATCATTTAAACGTTTACTGTGTAAATTTTTTATTTTTTTAAATATGTCAAAAAGATTTTACTATATATCAACTCCACTCTTATAAATTTATCACGAAATATAATATTTACTTTTTTTAAAACCTGAGTGTTGTGTTAGTCCATTAATCTTTTTTTTTGTGTGATTATTTCGTTTCATGCAACATGACTGTTGAACTTTAAAAACATTTCCTTCGTTCCTAAACTATATAACTATTTGCAAATCACCTCATTTGTCTATAATACTAACAAAATAATATGTTGCTACTTATAGTTTCATCTCTCCAACTATTGATTTTAAGGTTAACTAGCCTCAGAATTATTGATTTTAAGTTTAACTTGCTCCCAATTTCTTAAAAACTTAGCCGATAAGTTATATAAAATAAATAGTTCAAGAGCATTTATGTAATTAATTAACTGGGTGTTTTGAACGATTTTATATAACATAGATGTGAAATGGGCCCTTTTTTAAAATTTGGGAGACAAGTTAGTTCATAGAGCATTTATAAAATTAATCCCCTTTTGTAATCGTAAGATTGATCTACTAGTTTATTCAGAAGTTGAAAAGCACAAAACAACTTGTTAATCATGCTAAGTTTGTAAACTTGGTGCAAGAAAACTTGAAACACATATATGATACGCTTTTTTTAAAGCATTATTTGTCCCCACTCGGTTGAGATTTGTTTTGAATTTCAACAAGTCACTTTCAGAATATGACAAGTCTTTAGTGAATTTATAATAAGCAAACACTAAAAATCACATAAGAAAATAAGAATGCAGTGTATATATATGTATAAGAGAGAGAATTACAAAATTGTAATTGGGGTGAGGCAATTCGTATTCTTTGTACCCATTTTATAAATTTTGAACACCGTTTTAGAATGTAACTGCTACTCATTCAAGAAGATTGTGACCTTTGTGAAACTTTAAAATTTGAATTACACTATTTCTGAAGTGGTAATCTTTCATAAACTTAAAATTTAATTTAATTTAAAATCTAAATTTTAAATAAATAAAAAATATTTTATTTTAAGCAGTATTCTCTCTACGTACCACATGTCATGTTCACATAAGCGCCAAGTGCGCTTAGTAAGTGCTAAGTGGTGTGGTTCTTTGTAAAGTACTCAAAAGCCTTATGTCTTTGTGTGACAATGAAACACTACCCTTTTTGTATTATATTTGAACAACTCCAACAATCCCTACTTTTTCAAGTATAAAGCAAATATCTCAAATTTCAGACAACATCAGTGTTTATGAATACAATGAGATACATCTCAATTTGAACCTTAACTTAGTGTAAGTACCACAAGGTATTTATCAAATCTCTAGTACCCTAAAGCTTTGACCAAATATTCCTTTGATAGAAACCGGTGATACCATACACAAACACTAAAGTGTTTTTATATTCTACACCAAACTTGGTTGGCACTTTTAACGGCAATGTGCTCATCCACTTTTAGAGAGAAACTCCATCTCTCATGTGAGGCGACACCACTTGATGTCGCATATATGAAGTTTTTCTAACATCCTTGTTAAGACTGAACTTCATGAAGAATTAATTAAACTCAACCCTCAATTTGTAACAACCAGTAGTAATATCTTAGACAAGGCCTCTTTGTTTTGTGCTGAAAACTCTCCACTTATCAACAACTTTTTTTATACCCTTTGAACCTAAAAATGGCTCATTTTGTAGCATTAAGTTGGGTTGCCATTATTGGTTGATTATCAAGGAGTTTCAGCCCAACCCTCTAGATGTCGATCTCACAATTCTCTTGTAAGAGGTTTTGTAAACAGATCTGCCAAGTTACCTATGGATTTCACATATGAAAGTGAAATAATTATGTTTTTAATTAACTTTATCACATAATCATGTCTTAGACTAACATGTCTAGACTTCCCATGATATATTTTGCTATATACTATTACTGAAGTAGCTTGACAATCACAATGTATGGATATGGCCGATACATTCTTCGAAATTAGTGGAATTTTTAAAAGAAAATCCTTTAACCATTTTGCCTCACCAATGCAAAAATTCTAACTCCATTATCGAGTGTGTAAATCACATTTGTTTCTTGGACTTCAAGAAATCACACCTACTCCGAGAGTAAAAATCGAACTTAAGGTAAATTTGTTGTCTCCTACACTTGATATCCAGCTCGCATTTGTATATCCTTCATGTACAACAGAAAACTTTGATATATTGTACGCTAAGATTTTTAGTTTTCTTCAAATAACCAAGAACCCTACTAATGGCATTCTAATGTTCAACATTTGGGTTGCTAGTAAACTTGCTTAGTGTATTAACTGCAAATGCTATATCGGTTCTTATACATTATATCGCATACATAAGACTACGATAGCACTTGCATACTCAATTTGTGCAACCGTTATTCTATCATTCTTTACAAGTTTTATACTTGGATCAAAGAGAGTATTCGCATCTTTAATTTTTAAGAGATTGTTCAGAACTTTCTCAATAATGTGATTGAGTCATTACAAAACCCCCACTGTTTTGCATAACCTTGATACCTAAAATAGTATCTACTTGTCCAAAATCTTTCATTTTAAATGTGGAAGACAGAAACCTCTTCGTTCTTGTTATGCCTGTCATATCATTACTGACGATAAACATATCATCAACATAAAAACAACAAAAATCACACACTTACTATACATCTTTATATATAAGCATTTATGAGCGGTTACAATTAGAACTTTTCAGGAAATGATTAATCCCAAGTATAAAAATTAAATATCACTTGTGCTATTTTGAATCAACACTAGTGTTATTTTTAATATAATTTTTTTTATATATCTGTGACGTTAAAAACTAAATCACAACAACTAATTATAGGATGCATTATCATGATTAGAGTTAATTATTGTAATTATTTTCTTAAAAGAAATTATAATATAACATGGCAGTGAAGTAAAAATACCTAATAAAAATCCATGTTAGTTTTTAACTATTTGTAAGTTAGACTTTTTTTTTTCATTCAAGTTTAAGAATTAAGTTTATTATTCTTGATTTTAGATGGAATCATAAAAGCAATATATTGGTGAAAAGAGGAGAGAATTGGTGGATAATATTAAAATAAATAGGGGTTTTTACTTTTACAAATCTTTAAGCATAAGGCATGAGTTGTTGTAGTGTGAATTACAATATTTTACCTTTGATTTGAATTTGCTCAAGAGAAATGAGAAATATTTATATTTGCCTCTCATGTGAACTATGTCAGTGTCTATAATTTTTATTGAGCAAAAAGAAGATTATTAGTGTCATCTCGTTCCCATTTCTTTATTATTTTGAAAATATCATAACTCATCTATAAATCAAAAAGAACTTTACTCAATTATACTAAAAAAATGAACCTAATTTTCACTTATATCATCACACACCCGTTGTCGCACAACATTAGCGGGTAAAGGTCCTAATCTATAGGTTGATATTTCTTAATTTAAAATTTTAAGAAATAAATTCATTCCCCTAGAAAAATAAATAAACTAATGCAAAGAGGACCATTTCACAAATAATTACAAGTTAAAGGCTTCTAATGGAATACCATGCTTTTCCCGCACCCCCATGTGATAAAGTTGTAATTTTATTGTTTTGATAAGGATAAAATGGAAATAATAATGATCAGAAGAACTGAACTGTAATTCACTTTCATAACCACGGGACATCCAAGGAAAAGTGCCCCCACATCTTCTTATTTTTTGTAATAATTCATTGGTAATAATTCATTAAACAAATAAATAATAGGTTTAAATTTTAATTCTCTGGTTGTTGCCTTGGCGGCACACTCGATGTTTTGAAAGCCCAATTTTTGTCAAACCGCTCTTTCAGGAATTCTAAATTTAAAAATAATTATGCCAATAACCAATATATCTGAATTCTGAGTTGCAAAAAGATGAAAAATCTTATCTAATTTGTACGAAAGAATAAACTTTTATCCAATTCATAATTCACCATTAGTTCTATCAAATTCATAATTCACCATTAATTCTATCAAATTCATAATTCATCATTTTTAAAACTCTTGCCTGTGAAAAAAAAAAAAAAAAAAAAAAAAAAAAAAAAAACTCTTGCCTGTATCTAACTTTATAACTTGGTTGCTCTTATTTTCTTTTTAGTTTTAGTTTACTGAAATATTGTTATTTTCCTTTCCATTGTTGCTCGTTTTACCTTTTTTTTTAATGTTAAAACGAAAGCGATCCAAGAGAAAAAGTGAAAATTTTTAAAAAATAAAAGAGAGGAGACGAGGATGAAAGAGACATTTTTTTTTGGGGCTGAAAATGAAAGAGACATTTTTCTCGTTGCTAAAGAAAAGGACGAAAAATGAGAGAACAGTGGTGGTGCATTGTTTGCATGACCGGAGAACTTTCATTGTGGTTAAAACGATATGTCCTTTACTGATATAAACAGCAGAACGACATGTCTTTACAAATATATCGTCGAAACGACGTGTCTTTCACAAATACAAACGGCAAAACAACATGTCTTTTACAATTATAAACGACAACAGACTACGTACAAAACAACATTAAAATCTGACTTATTGACTATCTGCTGTTTATGAGGTAAAACTAAAAACGACAGGAATTTTACACAAAGAGGACGTGTTCAATCCGCACACCACATCTAAACGACAAACAAAGAATATCAAACGACATTAAATTCCAAGGCAAACGACACGTTGTTTATAAATGTTGTGAATTTCCCCGAATTATGTCACTTCAAGTACCCCTTAAATTTTAAAAGGCACTTGTTGTGCCTCTAGATATATATAATACATCTCTATCTATCCCCGACCTTTGAAATGGGTCTTTCTTGGATGGACTAGTACGTACGATGTATAAAAGAAGAAAAAATACATCAATTTCTTTTAAACCATAACTAACCCAATTGAAATAGGATTCATTATCCACTTCTATCATTTTTTATAATCTTGGAGCTAACTACTGTAAGAAGAATATATTTTTAAGGTTTGACTCCCGACTAATTAATTTCGAACAAAGACATTCATTAATTCTTAAGGCTAGGAGGGATGGAGAGAGTTAGAGGAATGTGGAGTGTGAAGGATGAAGATGAGTATGATAATCTTTTATATTTTTCAGTAGGGTAGAGAAAACATTAAAAAGATAGATAAATGAATATTTATTTAATAATAATATTATTTTTTTAATCATTTCATACTAAACTTTTTAAAAGATAAATTAGTCTTTTCTAACCTTTAATCGGTAGAGTGTATGAATCCTTCTATAAATGAAATGATACAAAATAGTGAGCTTTGAAAAAGAGAGTCCTCCATTGTCTCTCCTTTTTCTCTTACCAAACATACCCCAAAAAATGTACCTAATCTTAAGATAAGTGATACGTGCTAATTCCATAAATAAAGAAAAATACTCGTCTTAAATTTCGAAGGATGAATATGAGGGCGTGTTATCGATAATGGGTGCAACAAATAGCAATAGGTTTCAAGCTACAAACCTCTTATAAATAAATAAAGAGAAAAACGTAAAACTATCATTTTTTAATAGTCATATTAGTCATATTTCTATTATTGACCTCCTTAATTAGAAAGTATCTATTTACTAAAAGAAGTCAATTTAAACAAAACGGATAATAGTGAATAAATGGGGCAATATTAATTCCACATTGAATTTAGACTCAATTCTAAATAAGTTTCATAAATAAAAGAATTAATTATAAAAACTCTCTTTAAATTATACTTATTATAACACTTTACCCTTAATTTTTAAAATGTAATATTCGTTCTTCATGAACAATAAAATGTTAACAAAAAGCCCACTCCGTTAAGTTTTTTTAAGAGAAATTGATATGTAATTTGTTATTTTAGATATTTTGGTAATTTTATGGTTTAAAATTTAGTTTGAATTTAAAACTAATTTAAATTTGATTTTTTAATTATGATATATTTATTATTGATTGAATGCAAGTTAAAAATTTTATGAATTTTTTTGGTGGGATAAAAAAATTTATGAAGTTTTTTTTTTGAATATTTAAATTAGTTTATATTCAAATTTAATTTTAAACCATAAAATTATTAAAAATATCTTCAAAATAGTAAATTAAATATCAATTTTAGTTAAAAACTCAAGGGAGAGGGCTTTTTTGTTACATTTTATTATTCATAGAGAATAAATGGTACGTTTTAAAGATTATGAGACAAAATGTTACATGAGTATAATTTAAGGAGAATTTTTATAATTAATCCTAAATAAATTTTTTTTTAAAAAAATACTAAGGTCACGTGCACAACATGTGATCCACAATTGTGCGTAACTTAACCTAATGAGCTGAACGAATCACCACTAATCAACGACTAGAGAGAAAAAGGCTATGGAAGACAATGGCGGGGCTCCGTCGAATCTCCTTGACGACGCCGTCGGGGCTCTCGCCGGCCGATTTGTCGCCGTCGAAGACTCCGTCGAGACCAGCGCTGCTTTTGTCCTTCACCACCTCCTCAAGCGCGCTCTCTCTCCTCTCTCTCCCACCGTCGTCCTTTTCGTTTCCTTCGCCCACCCCTTCTCTCACTACGATCGCATCCTCCGAAAACTCGTACTCTCTCTCTCTCCATCGCACATTACTTTACGCGTTTTTCAGTCTGTGATTTTGTGTTTCGTTTCTGTTTTTTTGTTTTTTGTTTTTTTTGTTGAATTTGAACCTCGTTCTGTGAACTGTTTGGAATTTTAGTTGTCGCAGAGTTGTTCATTCACGTTTGCTGGTTGATTCGGGGGAAAGTTTGTTGAACTTTTTTTTTTTTCAATCTAAGTATTTATAGATTGTAATGATCTGTTTTTGGAGTCATTTTATTCCGTGGTTTGGGCGATTTGAACATGTTATTGGAAAGTTTATGCGGGTTATGTATGCATTGTGTAGTGTTTTCTATTGAACATTTCTGCTATTTATTTGATTGAACTTCATCATGGCTAGCCAAAAAAAAAAAAAACCTTCAGCTATTGGTTTGTACTGGAATATCAGAAATATTTGAAGTGTTTTTGTAGACCATGTATTATTATTAGAAGTGACATCTTGTTATTGTCACAAGCTTAGCCTGTTATGACCCGTTTGGTTTACCATTAAGTTAGTGATTTTGATTCTGAATTTCAATTTTATGAGAAAATCTATTAGCAAGAACTTTTTTTTTATTTAAATCTTTTTGTGGGAGAAAAGTAATGGGTTCAAACGTGGGCCCTTAGTAGTTCTACCCCATTACCAACTTGAGGTCCTAACTACGAGTGTCACACCCCTAATGGAAGAAAAAGAAAAATTAAATAAAGACGGAAGAAGGAAGAAAATGCATCAAGCTTCCCGAATTCATGATTTGCTCTTGCACATGGACGTCAAGCACGCACGCAAGCGCGCACACACATAAAATATATAGATTTCTTTTTGTTCTGATTTTCTTGGGGTTGCTGAATTTGGGTGTGTGTGTGTGTGTGTTTTCCCTCCTACCAGGGTTGCAATTTAGCTGCTCAAAGGGACAATAAAAGATTCTTCTTTTTCGACATGCTTATGTGGGAATACCAAGGTGAGAGAATCAGGTATATACAAGCATTTTCTATGTTATTGTCTTATTAAACTTCAAAGGCAGTTAAAATAATTTGCATCCTTTAAGTGCATAGAAGTTAGCCTAAGAATCATACTTACATTAGGAGATTTAGCTTATGAATTTACAGCAGCTTAAGAATCCTTTGTGTTATCAAAGAACTCTTTTCTGCGTCAACGTAATGATTGTCTTATGAGGATGGCATTGCTTTTTCTTGTATTTGTTTGAAGTGCTTGTAGAAAGATAGGGAGAGATTGCTTTTAAGTATTCTGGACGCCATGATAATTTTTCTTCTCTAGTGCTTGTTTTATATGAGACGCCATCTTATTCATTTAGATTTTAGATAGAGATGAAGAAAAAACCCGCGGGGATGGACTTGTTGCTCTTTATGGGGAAATCCAAAAGTTAATAAGTGACTTGCCTGAAGAGAGGAAGAATTCTGTTACCATCATGATAGATGATGTCTCTCTCATGGAAGTGGCTGCAAAAGGATCTACAAATCTTGTCTTAGACTTTCTGCATTACTGCCACACTTTAACGTCTGAACTCGTAAGATATCTCAACTATTTCTTCAATATGTAGTCTGAATGACATGACATACTTCTTTTTTTGAGTTTATGTACACGTACTTTACCCTTCTTGTCATAGGGTTGTTCTTTAGTCGCACTTAATCACGGAGATATCTATTCGAGCACAGAGAGGCCAACACTTATTTTACAAATGGAGTATCTGGCTGGAATTCTAATAAAGGCAGAGCCTTTGGCCACTGGGCTAGCCAAAGACGTGCATGGGCAGGTAAATCTGTTGCTGGAAAGTTCGAATGCCCTTGTTCCATTTCTTAGACTCTTCATACTTAATTCATTTTTCTTCTGCTTGATTGTAGTGTTCTTATGTAGCAAGTTCTTGTTGTCACTTATCTGAGCATTTATTCACAAACTACGTCTATCCCTTTTATCAATTTGAACAAGTTAGCACAAACTTCCTCAATTTTATCAATTTTTATGTGCTAACACAAACGTATACATCTGTTTTATTGAGTGATGCTTAAGCGGGTGAAACACTGGATTTAATTTGTATTGAAGTTTTACAGAACAAAGGGTTTGAATTCATCGTCTCTACTTTTTCTCTGTTGTTGCAGTTGACGGTTCTCAACAGGGGTGATGGCCAGGGATCAAGATACAAGTTGTGTAATTTTCACTTCAAAGTGAAGGAAAATAATGTCGAGTATTTCTTTCCGGGGAGCAGGTCTTGAGGAGACACATTTGTATTCCAAGTTGGGAGTAAATTGACATGGCACCGTTACCTACCTGGATGTAACCGTTGATGAAGAAAAGAGACTTCTGATTACTAAGGCTATGTGCCGGTTACGGAGGCTCTCGTTCTCGGATAGTTTATGGCATTATTTGCAACTACATGATATCCAAGATCTTTCACCACAATGGGGATAACTAAGCAGGCTGTAATTATATTGCTGGGACTTGAAGTGTTCAACTCGTGTTTCTTTGTATTTCGCATGCCCAACTGAAAGAGGGTACTTTAGCATCGGTGCTCCATTGAGACTGTAAACGGGGTTTAAAATGTTGGTTGGTTCATCCCAGTAGCTGCTGAAAAACACAACAATGTGTATCTACGAGGATTGACTGCATTGAGTGTAATACTAGGATTGCAACATGGTAGCTTGGAAATGAGCAAAAGATCCATTGGATGAACTTTTGACATTTTCATCTGTGAGAGTTTCAATTGTTTTTCCCATTTACTTCTTTGCCTTTTGGGTTCTTGGGAATTATTTTTTCAACCCCATCCCTCTCTCTTTCTCTGTCGTTTTTTTTTTTTTTTTTTTTGGACAGACCCACCCCCTTCGGTAACCAAAAGAAGCAGTTCGCATTTTTCGATGACCAAAAAGAAAGAACATTACGATGATGGTTAATTTCCAAAAAAAAAGGACTATGGTATCGTCCTTTACATATGTGATATCGGTAATGAATTTTTTTTTATAACCGTTCGATTGAAAATCTACGATACCAGATTGTGTTTCCATGGAAACAAAATAAAACTTACGACGTTGAATAATCTAATTTAATTAATAATAAAAATTAAAAAATACTATTAAAAAATTGGCGAACCAGTCACCTTTCTGCCTTCGTCGTGGGTGACGAAATCGTGATGAGGACAAGATCTTGTGACGGAATCGCAACCTCATAGCAAGGACAGGACCTTGCGACAGGTTGTGAGGAAATAGCGATGGGCTGTGACCTCTGTCGCATGTCGTGACCTCTATTGCGTGTTGGGACCTCAACCTCTGTCCCGAGAGTCGCAACTTCAGTTGCGATGGCGATGGATTGTGATTTTTGATGCAACGGGTCGCGATGGCGATGGATTGCGATTTCTGATGCAATGGGTTGTGACAAAATCACGACCCATGAAAGTGGGAGACAGCCAATTGCTCCTGCCATTGGAATTTGATTGTCAGCGACTCTCTCCCCTCACGCCGACGACGACAATTCATATATGAGTTCCTTGTCTCTCTTTTTTCTTCTTGTTTTTAATCTGATGTGTATGACTCACATTAGTAAGGGGTGGAACTTTGGGCCGGCGGGCAGGCCCGCTGCTCAAATTTTTTGGGCTCGGTAGGCAGGCCCATATGTTGGTCTGTCCAAAGTGAAAATTCAAGTTCGGGTTCGGGCAGCCCGAATTTGGGCACCTCGCCGAAGTCCGCCGCCGTGTAGGCGCCGTCAACTGCCGTCCGCCGGAGTTTTTTTAAAATTTTTTTGGCCAAGCCCGATTTGCCCGATCGCCCGAAAATTGTGAAAAATGGTCAAAATTCAGACTGTTGGTGCCCAACCCAAATTTTCCTGAATGCCTGAAAACCCGTCTAACGGCTAGTTTTTTTGCTGGAACTCGCCCGAACCCGACCCGCCGAACCTAAAGTAGCCGTTGCACCCCTAATTTTTTTGAAAAAAAATCAATTTTTTAACCCAAAAATTTACCTATAAATACCCCCCATCCCCTACACATTTTTCTCACTCAAATTCTCTCAATCCCTCTCAATTTCTCTCAATCTCTCAAATTCTCTCAATCTCTCTCAAGCTCTCAAATCTCTCTCACAATTTTTTCAAAAACTATCACATTATCCTAAAGCTCTCTTTCTCAAATCGCTCTTATTTTTTTATAATGGATACTTTTGGTTATAGCGGCATTACTGTTGATGCCCAACACAACGTGGAAGAATGGTAATTTCTCACTAATGAATTTGTTACGCAAGAATCTACTAATTTGAACCCTGCTGGACGTACTGGAGGTCGTGGTCGCAATGGTGGTGGGCGTGGAGAAGCGGTGACGACGAGTGCCAGTACGACTGCGTCTGCAAGTGTTGCAACTTCTAGGATGAAATGCAAGCGCACCTCGACAGTTTGGGATCACTTCGACATAATTGAGGAGATTGACAGTGAAGGTAACACTAAACATATAGCTCAATGTAAATATTATTTATCTAAATTACAAGGTGACACTATTCACGGCACCACACACTTGAGAAGACACTCCGAAAAGTGTCTTCAAAAGCTTAACCAATCCGGCGGATCCGAACTCTGCCAAACATAATTATCTTTTGATCGCGCAACCGGTGGTTTAACCACTTGAAAATACGATCCGCAACTAGATCATATGGAAGTTACACGAATGATAGCTGCTTTAGATCAACCACTTAGTTTTGTAGGGCATCCTAATTGGCAAAGATATATTAAGGTTGTACATGATCCTAATGCACAGTTCACTTCAAAAACTACTCTTAGGAAAGATTTATTAAAATTATTTAAAAAAGAAAAAGAAGCATTAATAAACCTTTTACACTCGACTAACGGGTGCGTTGCGTTAACGACAGATATTTGGTCTGCCGTTACCAATAAATATTATTTAGCTGTAACCGGACATTACTTTAAAGGATTTGATTTAGATAAGAGAATATTAGGTTTTAAATGTGTTCTAGGATCACTGATAAGTGCATGAAAGTGCACCTAAATTGTTCATAATTGCTAAATAAATTGAGTTTTAATTAAATATTTTTGTGAAATTAATATTTTGTGAAAGTATTTTATTTTAATTTAATTTATTTTACTTTGTAGGAAAATAAGGCCTTGTTCGGTTGCTCTACTTTACTCGAGAAAGGCTCACTCGAGAGTAAACTTTACTCAAGTTTGCGTTCGAGTGTGAGAACTTGAACTACACTCAAACTCAAACTCGAAAATTAATTTGAGTTACCCTGCCTTATTCAAGTTCACCTTCCTACTGCAACTTGGGTAACTTTTCTGTATTTCTACAGTAAGATTCTTGTTTAATTCTTTTTTAACTTTCTCTCTGGTTTGTTTGGTTGCTGAGAAAAGTGAGGAAAGAGAAATCGATGAATTTTCAGGCAGCCGTTCTAACTCTCCTGAATCCTCCACCGAAAAATCCATCTCTATATAAAGAAATCAAACAAAAAAAGAAGCCCAATCATCTATTAAAAAAAACACACTATAAACAATTTCAACAAGCCCAGATAAGATTTATACAATATCAAACACCAACCAAACAAAATCTTAAACAATACCAAACAATGTCCACAACACTCTGTAAATAAAATCTTAAACAACTATATTCGGAGGTGCTGTGGATCTAGATCACAGCAGAGCTGGGCGGGTCACGATGAGGGGGATGGGTTGGGAGTCGCGACGGGGCTGTGACGGCGAGACTGGGTATATATGAGGGGGTGGGTTGTGACGGGGCTTGGACACGATTGGGGTGAAAGAGGAGAGAGAGAAGAGAGAGAGTGTGTGTCGAAAATGAAAGAGGAGAGAGAGAGGGAGATTCGAGAGAGGAAGAGGGGGCGAGATACTTGAGAGATAAATGAAAAAAATGCCAAATACCATCAACGATTTTTATTGCGACAGAAGGCTATGGGAGGAGGAGAAAGAAGAGAAAAGAAGTCTGCGCTGGAAGAACTCACGTCTGCGTGGCTGAGAAAAGACAAAGAAGGCACTGGAGAGAAGAAGATATGAGTAAGCGGAGAGGGCATAAAAGCAACGCAGAGGAAATGGGTAGAGAAAAGAAGAGGTAGAGGGGAAGGGGAAAAAAAAAAGCAAGCAGATGAAGCAGAGGTGTCGAGGAAAAAAAAAGGAAAAAATAGAAGGAAAAAGCTTAGGTTTCACACGTGGAGAGAGAAGAGAAAATACTTTTATAATGCATAATACTCGTTTATGATCCACATACTCGTTTATTTATTCAAATCAAATTGCATAAAATTAATTAAATGAAAAAAAATAAAAAAAATTTCAAGATACTATTCACAACTTAAGAATTAGTTCAAACAAACACAAACGCAAATAAATTATAATCTCAAATCATAACTTAAATGTACACAATCAAACACAAACTCAAGTTACAACTTCAACTCAAGTTATAACTCAAACTCAACTCAAAATCTACACTCAAGTTATCTAACTCAAAAATACCAAAAGAACAGGTCCTAAGACACTTGGGCCAAAACTATATAAAGAGAAAGAAAAACCCAATGTCCAAATGAGGCCATCAGCAAGCCCAGTCCGCCAGCCGAGCGTCCGAGCTGCGCCGAGCCGTCCAAGCCGCGTCAGTCCATCCGGCCACGTGTCGCTGTCTTGTTCGTCGTAGATCCGCGTGGGCCCCACCTGTCCCCTTGCGCACGCGTACTTGGCGCGCACGGATCCTTCCCCGGGCGAGTCTCCTTCACGCGTGCGTTAGGGCGTTCAGCTTTTCTTCTCCGTGTGGGTCCCGTGTGCTACTTCTTCCCAATCAGCGTCCACCACGTGTCGCGAGCAAAAGCTTCTGTCGGCCACTTTTCCTTTCTGCGAATCACAGCGCGCCACGCGTCCCGCCGTGTAGCAGCTCTTCCACTTACAGCGCGCCACGTGTCCCTGCACAGTAACATTTCTTCTCCGCGAATCACAGCGCGCCACGTGTACTAGCTGTTGCACTTCTTAATTTTTCCGGTTCAAACATTTCTCAGGGTCATTTCTCCACCATTATCAGCCTTTACCACCAAATTGAAGCCTTGTAAATCCAATTTATTTGGATAAACCATTCCTTTTCTTCTTGTTTCTGTTTACAACTCTTGACATGGCCAGAAACTCTATAAATAAGGCCATGTCAAGGTGTTTAGGTTGTTGAATTTTAGTCTAAGTTTTTACATTTTTTTTTCTCTCATCTTCTTGTTCTTATTCTCATATTTTCTTTTTAGAATTTTATGGGAATTATGTGCAAGTTAGGCTAGAGTATTTAGGTGAGGCTAGAGATGATCCTATATGTGTAGTGAATTTGTTTGGATTTTAATTCTCTAATGGTTTGTAAGTTTTATACATTTGAGTAAATAATTTTCTTTTATCATATTTCTTCCTCTTATCAATATATTTTATTGTCAACTTTCATATAAACCTAGTCAAGCTCTTTTTATGTGATTGTTGTACTATATTATATATTGATATGTATTGTTTTATGAGTAGTCTTTTACTGCAATATTGCCAACGATATATTGTCGCTTTTAGATTTCTCATAAGATAATTTTTCCTAGTTCTAAACGTTAGAACTTTATTTACTCGAATACATTTTTAATTCATATGTTCTTCAAATATTTATTTTCCGATTGATTGTTTGGGATGTGAAACTTTCAATTGAGTCAATTTATGAATCAAAATCCAAATAGGTGAACAAAGCAA